CATCTTTTGGTTGCAGGCCACTAGACTCTTTTTTTTATCACACTTCAGTAGCTGTTTAGTAAATGAATGATCAAATCAAAATCGACAACTATTTCATAATTTTGTGAAAAGAAAATTATTTATCGATAGTTCTGAGGCCTTTGATAGGTCGCAAAAGACAGATGTTTCAGTTTTTTTCTCTCTGTTTTATGATATTTGAGTTGAAGCTAGAACAATTTTATTTTTACGCTAATCTATCGAAACATGACTTATAAAATTGATTTTGGTAAGAACTAATTAAAAGTATGCTTGCAGTTTTTTTTTTAGAAAAACTTGATTTAATGTGTACATCAAAAAATAAAAAACAGAAAATGAAATTATAAAAATTCGGACTATTTCATTTTTAATTTTGTACTAAGCGAAAACAAACTTTCATTGAGTTTTTAATTTACAGTTTTTAAGGTGTGAATGAAACCCATTTACAAAAATTTGATTTTCGATAAATTTTGGAATTGAGCGAAAACATTTAAAATTGAATTTTTTAAAGACTTTTGATTTTCAGCCACGAGTGCAAAACTTACCTTTTTTAAGAAAACGAGAAAAAGTGTTACTTGAATATGAAAGAATTATCAAAAAACCAAGGACCAAATTTTTTTTCTTCTGAAAACTCACTTTCAAGTTAAGCAATTGATAAAATTTTCATTTTGGTTTCGAAAAAAAAGTTTGATTCCCAAAATGACTTTAACAGACTAAAATTGCTTGCTTAAAACTAAACTCTCAGGGCTCAAATTAAACATAATTAGACTAGGGGAAGAAAATACGATTTTTTGAAGATAATTTAGAAGAGAATATTACATCTTCTATATAACAAATTCAATTATCGAAACTTAATTAAAACCTCAATTTAATTAATTTTGTGGCCCTTAAAATTACAAACTAAATAAAAATCTTTGAAATAATTACACTGGGCGCGTTTGTGTGAAATGCATATTTCAAACAGAATAAAATTTCAGAATTATAACATGCTCGGGGAAGACATGATATGGTAGGCCACTTAGGGGGATTTGACGGTTGATTTAGGGAACTAATAATCCACTAAGCTCCGACTCGTTCATTTTTGTCACAAGAACAACAATCAATCAGGAATCTTTGAATTCAAACTTCTTTTAGGTCAAGTGTTTTTATTAACACCTAGCCAATTGTCTGTTGGTCATGATAAATAGGTTTCAAATACCTTATAATGGAATAGTAACGTATGAATCATGAAGCCCAAGCTTATAACCCCGCGTTTTTAACCCCCTTTTTCTTAACGCCTCTCATAAAACCCCGACAGCATTTGTTGTTCTGGCCAAACCCGATGATGCCGCATCTCTTTGTTTCCATAAAGAAGGGGGAATAGGACTTCTCGTTTCGGGACGAGACTTTTTATGTAGTTAGATCCAAAATAAAGGCAAAGCTCGTCAACTTTTGCTATTTTTTCCAATTCTTTTATGGTGCGATCGCATACTATTTGAATTTGCTCCATTATTTTATCGTATGAATTTCCTTTTTCTTCTTCTTTTTCAAAACTAGTGAGGGTATCAATTTAGGTGCTCAAGCGAACTCGTGATTTGTTTCGTAATTCTTTTTCAATCCGAGCTTCGCGATTTATCTCATATAAATTTGTGAAAGATAAAAGAAACATCCCAACAGCTTGGACTCTATAATAATTTTTCTGAAACGCTTGAATAGCGGCATGCTCAAATTCCAGCAAAGTTTTTTCAGGTCTACTATCAGAGGCTAGTATTTTTAGAGCTTCTAAGAACGGTGGTACCTTTTTTTCTGTTTTATTTGGCAGAAACGCATATATGCAAGCGGGAGCTTTTCCTGAAAGACTAACGTGTATAGAGTAAAGTTGATAGAGTAAACGTGTATAGATGAAAACCGTTTCGGGGTGACTTTGAAAGTTCCGTCAGCCAAGCAAAACTTGGATTTTTTAAGCACACGTAGTGTTTCAGGGTCGCCGAACAAAATAATTATCTCGTGATCTATTTGCCTACTGTCAAACCTCATAAAATTTTTAAAAGTTCGGGTAATTCGAAACTTCTAGTTGCTGGGGAGACTTGTAAGACTTCTTCTTGTTGCTTGCGCGCTCGTTTTGCATGGCGAATTTTTTCTTTTGGCTGGTAGGGCTATTTGAGTGGCAATGTCTTCTGTTATGGGCTGAATTGCGGTTGCGACTGCGACGGTTGGCGTTTTACTATCGCTCAGATCCTTGATGTTTTCCAAAACTAGTCGAGCATCAGGTTTCCCGTGGAAATCTCGTGATTATGTTGACCCCTCGTTTCAACAAAATATTCTCCATTCATAATTGCTGTTGCGCGGCATTTATGGGCTTGGTATTTCGAGCAGTTCCAATTTATCTTGTCTTGTTTTTGATTTTAAGGTAATTTTCATGGCCTGATACCACTAGTATTTGTTTGTGTTTTGAAGATAAAGTAAAAATGGATAGACGTTTCAAACATTATATCTGATAGAGTAGTATAAGAATGGTTTAAAAATAGGCAGTATGATAACGTCTTTTGTTGTCTTCAATTAGCACCATGAAAATTATCTCTGTTTTAAACGTGTGAAGGAGGGATTATTTCTTAAGCTATTCAAAATGCAATTTTTTTTGAGCGACAAATGAATGAAGTGAATTAAAAATGGTTTCTCCGGCCTCAACTAGTACACCTAATTGGAATATTACTATGCGTGTGAAAGGACTTAATAATAGGAGTTAATTTGAAATAATTTATCGTCATTAAAAAGGGTTAAATTGTTGTGGGGTTATTTTGTTACAGAGTTATAAAGTAGGGGGGTGTAAACAAAGAGGGTTAAAGAGTGGGACACCATAAATCATATTTGCACAAAATATAGTTCATATTTGATGAAATGATTAAAGACTTTTAACAGTTGAGCTACTGTCAAGTGCCTAATAAGAGGTACCCCCTGATATTGATTTTGGGGTAAAATCGGGGTACGCCCTCTATTATTCTGAACCCCCCTCTGTAATTGATTTTTGCATTTCTTTAAAATACACTAGCAGCGTTCTGTTTTATACAATTCTTAGAAAAGTGTAGTGACGCGTTTAATGCTTTGATTTTTTTAATAGTGTCACCGCATCTGCATTTCGATGTTCACTTTGACGCTGTATTACTCTTTGTCATAGATGGCTGTCCCTATTCAAGGTTCTATGACTTCGCGTGTAATTACTAGTGGTACAATTACTCGATTACTATTCGACTATGTATTCGGCAAATTACTTTTCGAAGAATGTAAGGGGTTCTAGGTTTGAAACGATCCCCCTCCTCTCATTCGGAACCCCCTCCCTGCGTATTGATTTTCAGTTGAAAATGGGGACTCCCTCTAGTTACCTCCTTCCCCCCCCCTCTTATTAAGCATTCGGCAGTACCAGAACTTTTTGTAAGGAGGCTGACTTCAAAATTTGAATAACTTGATTACGGTGTGCAAATAAACTATTTTGATCTCCCTGTCGAGATCTCTATGCATGACATATTCGGTTTTTCTCTTGACATGCTGTAATTTTTGAGCATAATAAAATGCAAGGCAACCAGCACATAATTCAGAGTTGCTTCGATATCAACCCAAAAATACGACGCTCATAAACATGTCATAGATAAATTGTCTAATATTTTAGTTTTTCAATAGAACTTTTTCGACAATTTTCGTTAATCCCCGCAGTTGCTTAAAACTTCGGGTGTGTTTAATCGGTATAGATTTTTTTCTTGATTTATAACTGATCCTGTTTCTTCTTTAATCCGTTGGGAATCCTACGAAATAACATTCTCGTCTCGACCTTACAGTAATTGCACAGCATTTACTTTTTCAATTACACTTAATTTGCTTTCCATTTTGCAAACAAATTAAACGTGGATTTGAAAAAAAAATCAAAATTAAACCGCGAAACATCAAATTTGAGCTTGAATAAGTTTTTCCTGAGTAATGTGAAAAAAAATCACCTTTTTGATTAGCAATAAATTTTAATTAACTTTGACTGAGAAGTAAACTGCCAAATCTATGCAATTAGTAATCTATTAGTAATTTGCGTTCAATTATGCAGAACTAAGCTTGGATATGCACCTTATTTCGATGGGTTGGAGTTTACACTCTGGTTTACTTCTGATTTAATTTCCGTGCCAATCTTGCCGTTCAAGTCAATTTCTGTTTCTTCAACTCCAATCTTTGCATCTCTTTCCAAAGTAAAATCCGTTCTAGAAATTACTACTAATCACAACTACCCTCCGGGAAAACAGAACACAACAAGGAGTATGACTGATTTCAAACGCGAACTAAATCAAAATGGTAGCAGAGAAGGTAACTTGTCCCATAAAACCAATGAGAGATTGTTCCAGTAATTACATGCGCTATTTTGGACATTTGAAAAAAGCACCTTGCAATTCAATCGGTCATCATGTTTTCGTTGCCCGCTTTGCTCCAGACATTTTAGTTAAGAAAACATTTAAATACTTTTGTTGTCTTTTTGAGGGTGCTCATGTTGACAGACTCGGTTATCAAACATTTCGGTTTCCGAAAAAAAAGTATTTCAACCCATTTTCATCTAATTTTTGACAGTCGAAAAAATGGGCACATTTTCCTTTCAATTTAATCCACAAACGTTTTTTTAAACACGCTTCATAATTTGTACTGTCCCGGATTTAGCTTGGAAAATTGTCCACAGTTTCTCTTTTCAGCGACCGAAACAAAAACATGACGCGAGCCAGCCATTTTTTTTCTTAAATCTTATTCAGTTAAGATTCAAAGGCAGTTTTGGAGCCAATATATCTTGCTTCAACTTTTTTCGAGTCATTGAATTATGAGGCCTCAATCTAATTTGCAATGATCTCCAGCGAACAGTTTGATTTAACAAGAAACTTGCAAGTTTTAGCTAACAACTTAATTTTTCTAATATTAAGTCAACTCTGCAACCTATTTAAGTTTCAGCTTAAGGCCGTTTTTTGCTAACAACTTCAGCTTAAAACTTGTGTTAAAAACAAAAATGTAAATGAGCAACTAAGGAGACAGGAAGAGTTCATAAATATACATCAACTATAAACAACAATAATAATAGCATTAGATGTCTATGATTCAGTTTTTCGTCTAATCTTTATTTTTGTATTCTAATGCAAAATGATTGGTGCCTGCGACGAGCTGCTAGTTTAATTGAGTGAGCAATTATTGCAACAGAAAGTCTGTTTGATCCAGATCTAACTCGGTTGTAGGGATTCGAAAATGAATAAAAGGGACAGCCGTTCGTGAGTCTTCAGGCAACATAGATGTAGTTGTTCACGTTTTCCACGTCTCTTTTCATGTATTCTCGTTCTATCAGACTCTCAATCCGCTTTTTCAGATCACTCGCCTTAAATTACAAAAAAATTATTAATTCATTATTTCTAATGATTATTTAAGTCTAATTTTAAAGCAACTTACATCTACAACGAAATTCGATCAAACTGCGTGTGATGTACAGGTAGCATGGATATTTTCAACAACAGTTATTTTTACGAACAAAAAGAAATGGACAAAAAACTTTTTGAAATAAAGGTTAGTTGAGATTTTTTTAGATTTGAGGTGGGACTAATTTAACCAACATGGCCAGGGGCGGATTTAAGGGCAGTGAGGGGGGGGGGAGGGGTCGGACGCCCTACCCCTCTAGGGATTCGACCCCCCTGCTTTGTACTATTTTGAGATATCCATTTTTCCAAAAAGTGCCTAATCAATATTTTCCAAAAAGTGCCTAAAAACGCCTTTTTTGGCCTTTATTCTTGAAATTTTGCCTGCGGCGCAAAAAATTTGGCCAAAATTGGAATAAAACAGTGCTTTGGGAGAGCTCGAAAAATCCGCCTTTTTTGAAATCCGCCTCCCCCCTCGAGAAAATCCTAGATCCGCCCCTGAACATGGCCTATTTATTAGCATAGCCAACAGACAGATAGAAGTGTCAATAGAACTCAAGAGAACCGATTAAAATTATCGGATTTTTTAAAACATTTTTCAACTTTCGAATTGCGAAAAAAAAACATTTCGTTAAGGCCATTTGGCTTTCAAGAAACTTTTATGAATGACTTCTTTCATAAAACTAGTCCACTTAGCAAAAATTGGGTCTGTATGTATCTTTCAAAACTAAATCGTTCACTTTTTTCGCACTGTTTCCAGATTCGTAATTGGAGAGCATCATTTAGCAAATGAATTTCGATTGAACTTAAACAGAAACCAAAAATCATTAAAATAATCAATAAGTTCAGTGACAAAAAAATAACTAAATGATGTCAAAAAAGTTCAGTGACAAAAAATAACTAAATGATGACTGAAAAACCTATAAAATATGTACATGAACAGACCGACCTTCAACGACACGTTTTATAAAAACTGATTTTACATAAACAAGCAGAAGAATACTTAATTCCTCCCAACTACGGGATAGGAATAACAAAACGGGTACTGGATAGTTGGAAAATTATCAAACAAAAAAAAGAAATCAAAAACTTTAGAGCAGGACGAGACGAAGATGCACTTCGCACATACACGCAAAAAACAGGACGAAAATTTGAAACTGAAAGAAAATTAAGATACGTCAATAGGCTTTGAAAATGAAAAAAGTACATGAATGCGGAAATCGAACCGTTGATCCTCAGATTTTGAGCCATGTATCTTCCTTCCAAATCTTGTACATCAACTAAAATTAATAGGGTTAGCCAGTTGCTGTGCAAATGGCACAATGAATGTTCCAACCATATTCATAAAAAACTGATTTTCTTCTGATTAGTGTAGTTTTTAATGCATGGTGTGATTAGAGAACTAAACAAAATTGTAGAAAATTAAAAAATAAGGCATAATCGACAACATCTGTATTCAAAAAATGAGTTAAAATAGGGGGGGGGGGATTTAAAACAATTTTCGCACAATAACTTTTCTTGCAAAACTAAGTTTTTACAACTTGAACTCACTTTACTTGCTCGAAATTCGACTATATTTGATAACTTAAAACCTTTTTTAAAACTTGATCACACCCGAAGAGAAAAACTCTTCCCCACTTTCAATGTTCGGAGCAAAATCAGGCGCCCTAATAAAGCGGAAAAAAAGCACGAAACTTGGATAATGATTTCTGCGGGCTAAGTTGAAAGATACGGACAGAGGAGAGGGCAATTTGGAGAAGAATCAACAGCTAATTTTTGTTCCATTTCTGAAACTAAATTCCAGTTCAAAATTTGCGTGAAACCAATATTTTTTCTCATAGAGTGCAACTGAATTAGAGCTCAATTTGACCAACTAGTGCGGAAAGCCTGCCACAAAAAATAGCCGATAGACAGTTGATAAGAGTCAATGAACGCAGGAAAAAAATACTGACTTAATTGAATCATTTTTCGAATTTCATTTTTTATAAATTTCTGACTTTTAATTTAAACCTCTTTGAAATTTAACAAAAAAGATTAAAATTTTTTGATAAATTAACTCAATTAAGAAAACGGGATCAGATCAATATGTAAAGTTTTGATTCCTCGGTGAAATCTGATAAATCAAATCTTCTTTCGAAACTAGAAATCGATCACGTGTTTCGCGACCACTACAATTTTACTCTTCGATAAGCGAGTTTGCGTTTAATTCAACTAAGGAAAAGAAATGAGAATTAAAATAAATTATGAGTAAAATTGCGAAAAATCAATTTTGAGCGTGAGCAAATCTTAAGACTGAAAAACAATCATGACAACCTACAAACACACTTAGGAAGATGAACTACTAAACCAACTAAAATAGAGCCAAAATGCAGTAAGCAACTCGTCAACGAGCATCAATTGATTTTTGAACATCGAAAAAAATATCACCTGAAGCTCCTTTAATATCTAAAAAGGCTATGAGGGTAATTTTTTGATTCAAATAACCTATTTTGACGAAGCTCCATCAATAGAACATAGCCAACAGACAGTTGAAAAAGAGTCAATGGACGCAAGTAAACAGAAAAAAAAGACTTGATTTTGAAAAATCTCAACTTTCGGTTTTCAAAGAAAGAAAAGAAAAAGATGCTTTTGACGCTCTTTAAAATTCTAGAACAAATCAAGATTGGCCCTGTTTAAGAGAAACTTTATTTCCGCGTTAAAATTATTTATCACTAGAAAATCTTAAAATTAAATTCATCTTTCGAAACTGAGAGCAAAAGATCTTGAAGTGAACTTAAAAAAGAGATTAAGTCTAGAAAACATAGCCAATTGAAAATTGGAAAAGAAGAATGAACGCAAAGAAACTGAAAAAAACTACTTGTTTTTTTTCAAACTTCGCTGGGAAATCTAATAATTAATTTTCATTTTCGAAATTAGATGTCGATCACGTTTTTCGTGACCTTTGCAATTTCGCTGTTCGATAGTGGAGTTTGCCTTCTTTTGAACAAAAGAAATTCACTAATCTTAAAAAGAAATCACGAGTCAAACTGCGAAATATAAAAATTGAGCGTGAACAAATTTTAAGACTTTCTCCTGGAAAAAAAATACAAAAAAAATCAGCAAGACCTATATAAGAGTACTCACTATGTTCACTACTCTTAAAAAAGACATTAACCTAAGCAATTATAAGCCTGTTCGCTCGCATTATTCGTTCGAGTTAAGGCGAAAAGTCAAAAAATTTCAAACCGGTTTTTTTCGACACCAGAAAATTTGAGAATTTTTATGTGGTTCGAATCACGACTGAAAGGGCTTTTTTACGATATATCACTCAACCCAGTCCGATCATTATTTCTGGTACCTGATTTTGTGCGGAAAACAAAAATTTAAAACACGAATACAAAGTGAATACAAATTTCAGTGAAACTTATGTAGGACAAACGGACTCGTATATTACACTAATGGAGCAAAGCACCAACTTTGGCAATGATAGAGCAAATAAAGTTTGTGGAAATCATTATTTCCTTGATTCCAAATGTTATTAAATTTGAAGTATATTTGTTACGACGATCAATTATCAATTTTTTAACATTAAAATTCAGACTCAACCACCACACTTTGCAGTTTAGTTAAATAATCATTCAGCCCTTCGCAAAACAACGTCATGGCTAAAACCATTTTCTCCAAATTGTCCGAAACAACTTCATTGAACAATTCCGTGTCACTATTATCGGGATTTTTCAGTTCTAACTGGCCTGCAAAATGCCTGTAAAACATACTGGCACCTTCCAGTAATTTCATTTTACCAGAACACCATTTCCAACTAGTATCCATAACAGCTTCCGCGTTCACACTTTCGCCCATCATTGCTTTCAGATAAACTACATCAGCTAGTTGTTGAATTAAACCCAAGCCGTTTTTTTCTTCCTGAGGCAACTTTTCAATATTTTTTGCAATCTTAGATCCAATGTTTTCCAGATTTGAATTTCCTGATAGAGTTCCATTCGAAAATGCTTGCAACATGAACGTCATTCTCAGGATCTGATCGCAAAATTCTTTCAATAACCCAAATGTGTATGAAAGTCGTTTGCTCAAATGTTCGAGCTCTGATTGCGCGACTTGGTAATAATTTCCCTCTCGCTTTTGAGAAAATGAGTTTGATTTCGGCAAGAATCCGCAAACAAGCGAAAGAACAAAAATTGCTACAAATAGTTTCATTGATATAAATTCGCAAATACAAAAAAAATTTTTAAACTCTGATAAAGTTGACTAACAAAGAGGCAAAACGTTACAAAGATTTTCAATAAAAATAGAGATGAGAGAAATAACTTCGAAATATACAGCCAAATTGCAAATAGTTTTTTATTTCAAACAGCAAAAGAAACTTGCACTTCGTAAAAAACGATACCACTAAACTCTGAAATACAATATGCTATGTTTGTTTAGATTTCAACTCAAACAAAATGCCATTTGTGCAATATCGTTTTTATCAACTCTCTTCTGTTTTCGACTTTAAAGTCTCATTTCTACTGCATTGTATTCCTATTCATCAGAAAAGAGCAGAGTATGGTCGAAATCAAAGAACTATGTGACGCGACCATGTCGCGCCAAAAAATATGTGATTTTGTTAATCAAAGCAGATCTTATGCAAAGTCATCGAAAATAAACCGGTTGCAAAAGCATCTGCAGGACCTTTGAAGGCGGAAGCCAAAAATTAACCCAATTTGAGAAAATTATTAATAGCTAAAGTCCTTTTCTGTTCGGAAATTCGATAATTAAATTCCACTTTCGAAACTAGAAGTCGATCACGTTTTTCGCGACTTTTACACTTTCGCAGTTCGATAAAGGATTTTGCCTTCATTTTAACATAGGAAATGATCTGAAATTAAAAAGAAATCAAAGGTCTAACTGCGAAAAATCGAACTTTATGACTTTCCCTAAAAAACTGAAAAAAAATCATCACGACCATTATAAGAGTCATCACCATCTTCACTGACACCTTAAAAAACAGAATTAGGTTTCCGTAAGAAAATCGAAGTAGATTTTCCTGTAGCGTGAATAATTAAAGCTTCTGTTTTAGGCGCTGGCTGATAATAGTAAGCAAGCGCTGGATGATAATAGTTCGCCTCTTTACAAAAAAAATGTTCACCATAGCGAGAATCGAACGTAACTCGAAGTATTTGACCGTTACGCCAGCTGGCATTATATATCTACTGCATATCATGTTCTATTAAGCAACGTCACTTTTATAATCTATGGCCAATTTTTCTTACCTTAACGGGGAAGCGTAACTGGTGTATAAGTTGGGACACTAGTTCGTTGTGGGAGAGGCTCTTTCTGGTCTTCATGATTCGCACCACGGCAGCGTCTACTTGGTAGACCCTATCTGCAAACACCTGCTCCTAAAGCAAGCAAAAATACACTTAATCAAACTCAAAACAAACACAGAGGCGAAGCGGAGCTTCGCATCTGTTGTGATCCAACCCAAACATGAAAAAACATGCCGAAAAAAAAAATGAAAATGTTGAAAGACAACTGGGCCAAACAAAGTTTTCGAATGTCTCGATAAAAGACAACGAGGGGCTCAAATAAAGCTGGAAGTACCCTTTTGAAATTTTTTGAATTTGTTATACTGATGCGGGACGAAATGCGTAACTTCAAAAATTGATCTTAGCCCAAAACCTTAGCGAGAAGACCTTACCCAAAACCTTAGTAAAAAGCCAACTAAAATAAGTGAGAAGAGTGAACATTTTTGAGAAAATGGAATTTTCCCAAAAAAAAAATATCTGAAAAAAATGAGTCGCCGTTTTTTCCGGAAAAAATCTCGCAACCGGTTCTTTTGATTGAAAATTTCATCCCAGATTTGATAGGGTTGGTAAAAAAATTCAAAGGCTTGACTTTACGAAATTAGAATTTACATATGTTTTCTGCTAAAAGCAGGTCGTGGCCGCTACAGTAAAGAAAAATCCCAAAACCGGATTTATCGAGTAAAGTCAAAAAGTTTTCAGAAAACGGTCCAAGTTCCAAAACTTTGAAGTGTTTGAAGGCCATAGATTTTTTCTAGAAAAAAAAATGGGCGTATCCAATTATAAAGGTAGGCTTTCAACAAGTTGTTGTTTCGATCAAACTTATGGTATCAGATTCGGCAGGATAGTTATCGATTAAAGTAAAAACGACGATTAAAGTAAAATCAACAAAACAGAAATTTAAAATAGCCGCTTATGCAGAATAGATTCATGCAACATGTTATTTAGATTGAGCCCGAAAACTCAAATTTGGGAGTCAGTCTTGTTGACAAAAAATTTATATTCACTTCTCTCTTAGAGAGCCAATTTAAAATAGCTCAATCAATGGAAAACATTATATTCAAGGTCTGATTTGGGTACTTCGAGAAAAGTCAAAGAATTTAAAAAATGGTCGAAAAATCAAAAATTTGACTTTTCCGAGGGCCGCACCTTTCTGTGTCAAAAAGTATTGTGATCTGCCACTATTGAACGGGAGCCGCTGCCTTCAATGAATCCACAATTTAGGAGGTTCGTTTTCGAGAAAAGTCAAAACGATTAAGAAAAAACTGCCATACGCTCGAAAAATTGACTATTCCGAGGGCCATAATTTTTTTCAAAGAAAATGCGCGTAGATGCTTATGCAAAGAATTTTTTCCGATCCATTTTATCTATTGAATCCACTTTCTCAGATTTGAAAGAATGGTTTTTCAGAAAACGAAAAAAAAAATCAAAAACATGGGTCAAATATTCCCCCCACAGAATTTTTCAGAGGCTGTAGATAGTGGGGTAATGTAAGAAGAAACTAGGAAGCATGCATGCACAGGGAGAATAGGCGGTCTTTCCATTGATACCCATTTTTTAACTAAAATTTTGGTTAAAAGTGAAAAAATTTCTAATTGTTTCAAAAAATAAATAATAACCCAATCCCATACCTTTCCATAATACCTGTTTTTATCAACAGAAAATCGGAGAAAACACGCAAAGAAAGACATTGAAGTCTAAATTAGCAACGGAACATAACTTACGAAGCGGATACAAAGCCGACAATCTGTGAGCAGACACCATTTGAGCCGAAAAAAAAATAGATTTTACAAAAAACGGCTATAAGTTTCAAGTTCGCCTGGAACTACAATGAATAACACTTGCAACTAACATGATACTTGCTCATAGCACAAAAAATAATCCATGATGTGGCAACTAAGCCGAAAAACTTGATCAGACAAAACTAAACCTGACCAAAAAATTACCGGAAAAAATTAATTAACTTTAAAAAAAAAGGTCCGCCCAGGATTCGAACCCCTGAACTTAGGGTACGAAGGCGTTACCTCAAGGCCAAGTGCAAAGGAAAAAGTCTACTTTCCGATTACAAGACACTTGCTTTCGCTGTAATTGCGAATAAGATTTAATTTTCGATTTCTCGGATTCTCAAACCTACTTTCAATTTCTCAAAGAACCAAACCCCGAATTGGGACCCCTACGTGATAACATCATCTGCTTAAAATCAAAGTAATGCCTGACCTGGACAAAAAAAAAAGTCAAATAGAGAGAGTACAAAATGGTACAGCTTGCTCGTTTTCTAATTGTCAGACCTTGAATATAATGTTTTCCATTGATTGAGCTATTATAAATTGGCTCTCTAAGAGAGAAGTGAAAACTCCGAATATAAATGTTTTGTCAACAAGACTGACTGGAAAATTCCATGCTACTTGCACAGCAACCAGGCTCTTGTTTTACTTATTTCCTATTTCACTGCCAGAATTATGTAACAGTTGCATAACAGCAGGGGCAATCAGTTGTTAGATTACATAACAAAATTATTTCTCAGCTTGATGGAATGTTATCTTATTTTCGGCTTGTTGGTCTACCGCTTGTTTATCGCTGTTTACCTGTGTTGTTTCTGCCTCCTGTTTTGTCTCTTTCAGCTGAATCTGGTTGATTTTGATGCGGTAGTGTTTGTTTTGGAAGTCAGTGATTATCGAAAACCTGTCAGTTGGCGAGACCTCCTTGTCCTGCAACAGCACAAAAAACATTAGGGAGGAAAATCATTACTTACCAAAACTCGGGGGTCAGGGGTCGATCTGCCGATTAGATCACCCCTCCTCGCCCTAAATCCACTACTGGACTGAATGCCCGAAATTTTTAACCAATCAGCTTCTTTTAACCTTTTCAAACTGACTAAATTTCAAGCTTTTTCATATTTTCGCATAGGGAATTATGATCGGCAAACCACATTTCCGGGCAATCGATCCTTCAGGATTCCCATTAAAAAAATCAACAGTAATCCGATATTAGAACAAAAATTCAAGCGACGTCCTCGTTAATTATGTGGAGATCTATTCTTATGTGGAGATCTGAACATACATATTTCTGACAACTCTAAGCAAAAACAGATTTTGACAGATCCAATTTGAATTTCAACTTAGTAAATCGAGAAAATTGGTTTACCAGAACAGCTGCAACCAGCAGAACTACTATACATATAATTTTCGTCGAACTTTGATTGCAGCACAACAGGATCGGAAAAGGGGATTTCTGATCACCATGGTGTAATTGATCATAGATGTGAGTGAATTGAACTCAGCTCGGAACTTAATTAAAAACATCAAAACCAAGTGTAGAAAGCCATTGGTTTTATTGAAAGACGATGAAAAAAATTATAATTGGGGCTTAGAAGAGTCAATGAACGTAAGAAAAGGAAAAAAATCTATTGAAATTGTTTTTTGAAAAACTTCAAAAATCGAACTTCAGAGAAAAACATAACCAACAGACAGTTGGAAAAGAGTGAATGGACGCCAGAAAACATGAAAAAACACTGATTTGTTTTTCTAGAAAAACGTAATGGCCTAGGAGCTTTCATTTTCCAGAAAAACATAAACCACCCTTTTTGAATACGATTAACACAAACTGGATTAACTTAAATTTTCTTATTCCGCTGGGAAATCTGAAAATCAAAACCAACTTCGAAGCTAGATTTCGATCACGTTTTTCGTGACCTTGACAATATTGCTGTTACAAGTAACCTAACAGTTGTAAATTTTCAATAATCATACAAGTTAAAGTTCTTCGAAATTCGTCAGAGAAGTTGTTTACGGGAACGAAAAAGTATAGTTCCCGATAACAAAACACTTGCTCTCGCAAAAGTTAAGGAAATCAAAATTCAAACGACAAAAGTCAAATTTGAACCTAAAACGATTTCAAAAGTTTTTCTAAAAAACTAACAGCATCACGACCAATTACGGCGTTCATCGACTCTTAACCAGGTACCACAAATAAATATCTTAATGGGAAGAGTAATGTATCATAATTACGCCCTTTCAGACGGAATCGGAACAGCAAAAAAAATTGTCACCGTATCGACAAAAACTTGTTCCAGGATCGATTCAATTGAGTTAGTTCACTCAATTTTGCTCGGGAAAACTAATTCTGGGAGTTTCATTTAGAGATTCTTTGCAAAAAAAAATTCTGAAAATTCACAAATTGTACTTCAAGAAAAAACCATCTATTTAAAAATATTCATTCTTCAAATAAAACTGTTGTCGTTTGTCTAGTTCACTAAAGTTCTCATCAGAACGTGCACAAAAAAAACGACACTAAATTGAAAAAGATAAACATTTTTTTTGTAATACTATGAATAAGGTCGGAACATTCTGTGCTACTTGCAAGCAACTGGCTATCCTTTTTCAATTTAAAACGTGTACACTGCCTGTTAAAGTTATTTTTTGAATTGTTCAGTTAGTTTAGACCCCTCAAAAGAATTCAGTTATTACTTTTATATCTATAACACAGGCAAAGCTGCGCTTCGCAAACACTTCCGAGAACATGACCAAAAAGCAGCTCTGTCAAAAGTGAAAAAGGAAAAATATAAGCCTCAAATTAGCAAAAACTCGGCTACGTGCAGGATTCGAATCTGCGATCTACTCCAATCAAGAGATTTTGAGTCTCACGCACTATCCACTCAAGCTTAACAACCCACAAACACTAGTCACTTATAAGGCAGCTAAATATGCTAAAAAATTTCCAATGCGATTCAGCAAAAAGGGCACCTGATACAAATAGACTCAATTTTGCAAGTTTTAATTTGGAATATAACAAACTTAAGGCATCCACACTAACTTTGCATCTAACAAATCGCAAAGCATAAAACCAAATTTTGTATAAATTAAGCATTTCATAAAAATTGCGAGATATATTGAGCTAGAAAATTTCTGAAACCGAGTGTTCATTATTTTTGTTTTTCGCAACAAATCACTTTTTTCGGTACATTTGATGAATTAAAAAGGCATCAACTGTGTTAACTTATTACTATTCGAATGTCAAAGCGCATGCTATGAAAAAGCTGTAAATGTTCCCCAAAAATAACCGCTGGCACCATATAACATGACTAGTTTGTTGAAAATAGTTAGAAAAAAAACCACCTCGTGAGACGTCAACGCTCCACTAAAACCGACCTTTTTTGTAAATTTGAGCCACAATCACCGGTTAAGAACACATGCTCCTTAAAAACATCTTCCAAAATCAATGTCGTTCTTCGCATCTCAACTATTGTCATAATTAACATTCTTATTATATTCTTATTTTCCATTCGAACCAAATTTTAAACGGTTTGGAGGCTTTCCCGGATAAAAAGATTTTTTTGAACCTCAGATTTAATATTTTTAATCAATTTAAAATGCTTCTTAGTTAATGCATGCGTCCTCTTTCAAAAAATTACGAAAACTTAGCCTAAGTTCTTAAATGTCATTATTACAAACGGAAACCTTCTTCGACATATTCACTTTTCCTTGAAGACAATGTGCAGGATGTTTATAAATATATATATTTACTCAAATTTGTTCTCAAAGTCTGAACAATTTGAATTCACCAATTTTTCATGATTACTTTGCAGGATCGAATCACAAATACAATACAAGGTTCATCAACCTAGGTTGTAGTAAACAAAAAAAGTAACAACAATAAGATAACATTCAACTCCTTGCGTAATCGTGAATCGGATTGGAATGCCACCTCACAAATTAAAAAATGATATCGCGAAACAGAATTACGCTCATAACTTTTTTTAAAAAAAAGACTATTTAAGAGTTTGATGATCAACTCCTGGACTGTATTTTCTAAACCTGATCCAAATAAACATTTCTGTAGTTCCAAATAAAGTGCTGTAGTTGCAGATTTTGTTTCCTTGTTTTCTAATTTATAACCAGTGGATGACATTTTTGATGCTAAAATTCAAACGAATTTTAATTTATATGAGAATCTTATTAGTCGCTAGTTGACTTTTTTGTTTTTCTTGCCACTCAGGTTAACTCCTCGCAGGTGTGAGAATAGCAACTACATTTTCTGGTGTAGTGTTCTTTTTCATTCAAGTTTATCATCGATTTGTAAACTTTCAAGGGCAGTTTCTGGATAAATCTTTTCATTACTTTTAGGGTGCCTGCTTCGGTGCTTACCACAGATTTTATTTTAGCATGAACTTAACTACATAAATGATTCTCTTTTTGCCGGAGATATGTTTAATTTAAGTCAACTTAAAAAAAATGACCTATGCAGGGTTTTAAATGTCCAGAAACTTTTGAATATCATTCCTAGCCTTAAAACACTGCGCATTACTACTTCAAATAGACGGGGGGAACGGTAGAAGATTCGCTTCAAACCAAATGTATTTACTAGTGGATCCTTCTTCAATATCCTTGAGTCCTTCTTGCCCAGAGAGAGCGACTGTACAGTCCTGGTGAGTTCACTGTCTTCTATGTTAGTCAGCTCCTTCAGTTGCTGATAGGCGAAGGAGGACCCATTGTTGAACTGGAGAATCACGAGGGCTTGGAACAGTGACATGTGCAGTTCTTTCACACCCTAAAACCCAAAATCACTAACTCAGTTTAGACGAGATTAAGATATTGAAGCATATAATGAAACGCTACCAAAAATTAAATCATAATGCGTCAGCCAAGCTTACATGCAAAAAACCATATCCAGCAAAAAGTCAGAGAAGTGTCAAAAGGAAACTGAATCGGAGAATAAATATATACAGAGGCACAGCTGCAGAACATTGGTACTGACAGTGTTAAATCTGGCTTTGACGATGCAGTGGCCAAGAGTGCTCTGCCACTTGAGTTTCCTCCCACTGTGCTTGGCCAGGTAGAACTGCTTGAAACACTCCAGGTACTGCTCCATCTGAAACGACACCGAAAACCATTGCATCAAAAAACGATCTTCCAGTCCACTATTTTACTATTAACCTTCGCTTGTTCGCTGTTGGATAGTGGAAGTTGCCCTCCTTTAAACAAAAATATGAGCCTGATAATTAAATTAAAAGTCAAACTACAAAAAATCAAAATTGAGCGTGATCAAACTTTAGGATTTTCCTGAAAAAAAAAAAGAAAAAGGGGAAAGATCTAAGTGCTTAAACGTGACAATTCAGCCGTGCTCGGCTTCTTAGTAGTGAGCGCCTTACGGTACTGAACACGCAGTAAAAACAACAAAGCCCTAAATTCTTTCAACTCTGAATTTTGAAAACAGAAGAGCGAAACTGACCTCTTTTGGAAGGTTGACCTCAACTGGGGGATAAGTGGGCCAGAATCCCATGGTGAGAACATTTACTATCAATTCAATTTCCCCTGACACTGCTGAGCCAGGAATGACATCGGCACTGTTGACATCTCTGGATGACCTTCTGCTACTGTTGCTAGTTACCGGATCCGCAAGGTCCAGTTTTTCTTTCTAAACAATTAGAAACAAGAAGTAATAATTCAATTCAATTTGAACACACGGCGCCTGAAAAAATTACTTCAAATTGTTAAACAGAATATCAGCTTATAAGACTTGTTTGAAGAATTCGTAAGTTTAAGAATAAAATTTCCAGATTAATTTACCTGGCTTTTATCCAACACGTTAAGACATATATCAAATAAAAACTAATATCAATTAAAGCATAACTACATTTGAAGTTGATATATATCCTACTTTTATCTGCATTTCATCCACGAACTCATCCTCAATGACGTCATCCATTTGACGATCACGTGACTCCTCTTCAGTTGACTCATTTGTTGTTGGTGGTGTTGATTTCTTCGTAGGCGTGACTCTGCTCTCCATGTGCAGTCTGAAGTTGGTCATGATATCACGCGACAGTTCTATGTCTTTGAACATTCCTTCCAGTTTACTTGTGAATTGAGCACCACATTCTAAAATATGATATAATCATTACTTTTCGGGTTTGAAGATAGCGAGTCTCAATAGTTTTTGGAAAACTTGAGGACACCTGTATAAAAAATTGAATTCTTTTACACCAGAATTTTCCACGAATCCATGCTTTGTTTAAATTCGGGAGAGATCTCAAGAACAAATTAGATGAGCGAAAAAGAAGCATTTTTACATCCTTTAAAACTTTGATTGACTTTTTAGTGTAAAAACGAATCAAAGTTGAGAAATCTGTGTCAATGAATAACTGTCTTTAGGACCATCTAAAATAAACCACAATAACCACGCAAACTAAATATAGAAACTTCTTTCCTTCATTATTTCTTCTAAATCATCAGCAAAGTATCCATTTAATCTTCTAACCTTGTTTGAGTTTGGACAGCATCGATTTCTCTGCATCGACACTAGCACTTCTGCCAACTAGCAGTCTCTTTGCCAGATCCTTCTTGTAGAACGCTTCAAACACATCTTTGCCATGGATGAACCTGAAGATGACCATCACTTTGTCCATCAGACGTTCCAGCTCCTCCTCCGAGCTCTCTTTGTTGCCCGATTTCAGTCTCGTGTCTATGAACTTTGCAATCATCTCAGCCGGTTTGTTCGCTCTCTTGTTGATGAACGATTCGAAAGACTCCCTGAAATAAGAAACAATTTCCATTGCAGCTCTACATAGATCGTTTTGACTGGAGCTTTAATTCAAAGTGCAACACGCCTAATGTATATTTTTTCAGGCGTCCCTAGGCTTCCCTTGCTCAAAATATAACGAAAAATAAAATACGGACTTTTCAGGTCTTTACAAAGAACCAAAGCTGTTACATTCATCACAACGTACATGCAGTATTTTTTTCAGTTTGCAATTTAAGCAAGAAGCACTGATCCTAGAGGACCTCGAACAAGCAACCTCATATAATGACTCTAAGGCAATAACTAAAACATTTTATTCGACTAATTTTTAGTACCTTATTGCAAGCGTGTACATGTCGAGACCTGCAAAACAAGTGGTAGCAATTGAGTCTGTTTTTTCCTTGAGAGACAGTAATTCAGACACCATCTGCTCATCATTGTTCACATTCATCACTATGTTCGACCCTGTCAACTGAAACAAATTACAACAGTAAAATATAGCAACAGCTTCGTAATTCATGCCAAGTTGTTAACAAAATCGATTATCTTGACCTGCTAAATCAATGAAAAAAAAACATTTTAATAATAGTTAAGATGGAATAATTAGCAAATGGCAAAATACTCGCTTAACACAGGCGAAACAGAAAACCTGCGCTACACACTAATAGCATTGCAAGCTAGTGGATAGAAAAATAGACGGAAGCCACTAAGTCGAAAACTAATGTTCAAAAAAGTTATAAAAAAACTAAGTCTACAAAAATTTCATACTTTTGTCTCAAATGATGTTTAATTTGAGGGAAAATGTCACGAAACAAAATAATCAGCATTGAATAAGCATTCAGAAACAACTATTGAGTAGTAACTGAGCTGAAAAAACTTGGGTAGCCGCCCGAAAATTGAGCTACAAAAACTTGAAAAGCCCCACCACTTCTGAAATAAACAAATGCATACGCCGAAACTATTTAAGCTGAAAAACACAAAACAAATCATAAAATCAGTAAACAAAATTACAAATAACAAAACGCTTTTCAACTGACAGTTGGAAAAGAGTAATGATCGCAAGTAAACAGAAAAAAAAACAGACTTTGTTGAAAAAATCTCGATTTTCACAGAAAGTTTCGATTTTCACAGAAAACAAATAGATGCCTTTAAAGCTCTTCGAATTTCTAGAACAAAATACGATTGGCTCTTCTTTTAATAACATTAACCCAACTTGAGAAAACTGGATCAATAGATAACGTTTTATTCCGCTGGAAATCTAAAAATTAAATTCCACATTCGAAACTAGAAATTGTTCACGTTTTTGCGCCATTTCCACATTTCTTTTTACGTCACTTTCAGCAGATGAATTTCAATTGAGCTCAAAAAGTGCATATATACCTAAGTGCATTCATTAATGCATTAATGTGTATGAATGCACATCTGTAGTTATTAGAGATTAGTTGCACATATGGAGTTACCAAGACCTATATAAAAGTCTTCACTATGGTCATTACTCTTAGTAATTTCTTAAATCTCAAAACTGTCCATGCTTTGGAAGGTGAGACAATACAAAATAACCAGACAAAAATTTCAAATTCCACGCATTGAAAAAAAACAAGGTCACTTCGGGACCCACTCCCAAGACTAGGGAACCCAAAGGCACGCGCTATACCACTAAACCAAGTGAGAAGTAGCCTCAAAGTTATTAGGGTTCATAAAAAAAAACAAATTAACATCTAACAAAAAAAGTTGTTCTTGTTCCCGATTACAAGAACCCTTGCTATAGCAAGCTAAAAAGATTCACGCCACAAATTACGCTTCTTAAGAAAGAAAAGATTGACTAGCAGCACATTCATTACAGCATTAGCGAGCAGTCTCTGCTGACTGTACTGTGGTGGGGGTGTTTCTGATCGATGTTCTTGAGGAAAAATCTTGTACCTGATTTATTAACACTAGCTAATCGCGAAGGTCAAAAACATCCGTCGCTCACTACAAAAATTGACAAGAAAAACCCTCTCAACCTCTTTACGACACATGTCCGACAAATTAATTTACATCATTATGATCAGCGATTTGAACAGAAACTAAAAACAAGCCAATTGACGAACAAATCAATAATATAGTTTTTGCAGGTAAATTGATCATTTGAAAAAATGACTTAAAAAAGATGTTCCTTACTGAAAAAAGCATATCACTATAATCAAACCCCGATCTAGGTACAGCAGAGAACTCAAAGAGAACACAAGAAACTAATGTCTAAAAAAGAAAGTAGCTGGCAACCCTTCGAACATCAAGACCAAAATTATATAAACACCAGCGAAAAAACGCCAAGAAGTAGCTTAAGAAGGATCAAAGAATAGGAAGATGAACAGTAATGAATTTTGGAAAGCAAATGAACTCTACGGGAAATGAACCTTAGTAATCGGGCATTCGAGTTTTCCTTTTGACTGCCCTACACTATTGTGCCACAGAAGCTTATAGAAAAGATAGTATGCGGCAAAAGGAAGCTTCAAAATGCACAAAAACACAAATTATGCATGTAATGATTTGTAATACAATGAATTAAAGGCAACCACACGAACTTTGAATGTACTTGATTGGAAATACTGAAGCAAAATTGTGCAAAAATTATGCATTTCGAAAACATGCCAAAACAAATTGAGCTGAAAAACTTCTGAATTTGACTATTGTTCTAAAAAAAACAAATAAACTGAATGTCAAAGTACATTCTATTAAACTGTCGTAGCAGCTGACTGCAGAAGTACCACCAAAATTAACTCTTTAAAATTAACGCTTTAAAATTTGCGACTTAGGTTGAAAAAGGGTTGCCTTGTATTATCACACTACACTTCGCATGTGTAGAACCACGAGCTTTAGGTTAGATAACTTCGTTCAAATTATATTTTACAACTCGGCATCAATTAGAACATAGCCAAAAGACAGTAGGAAAAGAGTCAAGGAACCCCAATGAACAGAAACTCTCAACTTCCTAATTCCAAGCTCTTAGAGCTCTTTGAATTTCTAGACCAATTTATGATTGACACTTTTTTGATTAAATCAAATTTGAGAAAACTGGGTCAATGGGTAAAATATTTTGTTCCGCTAGGAAATCTGTAAGTTAAAATGTTTCGACCTGTACACTTTTGTATTTCGATAGTAGAGTTTGCCTTCCTTTTACCAAAGAAAACGAAATGAACTTGAAAAGAAATCAAAAGTCAAACCGCGAATAACCAAATTTGAGCCTCAACAAATTTACGAATTATCCTAACAGAAAACATATACACTTGCACACACAAGCAAAAATATGACCGATAAAACTACTAGGAAAAACTGAATGAGTAAAACTTTGAGTCGACAAAATTTCTTGAGTGACGCATGCCAATTATTAGTTTACATAATTGCTAAGTGATGCAATCCAATTATGACACATTAGCAGTACCAGTCAATTTGAAAAAAAAAACCAAACAACGTGACTCAATTCATAGAGCGGACGCATTTTAACTATTATACGAAAAAGTTCATTAAAACATGCGACCCTGCTGAGGTTCGAACCCTCTTATTTTGCTGCTGGTCTCCTTCCCTACCTCTACGCTACAGATCCATGATACCTTGAAGCTAAGTGCTATTTGTTATATAATAGTGTGTGTTAATATAGCATTTCCTGTACTTAATCGCTGGTTATTGATCTTATGCATATACTGCAATAAAAAAGCTTTTTCAAAAAGAGCACTAATATTTGCGACTTAGGTTGGAAAAAAAACGAGTTCGCAATATCACACAAGCTTTGCTCGTGTAAATAGTGTTTTGGGTTTTCTTTCATCTTTTTGTACCAGAAAAAGTTTTCATTTGGAATTCAAATCTTCACCTTTGCTCGTGTAAATAGTGTTTTGGGTTTTATTCATCTTTTTGTACCAGAAAAAGTTTTCATTTGGAATTCAAATCTTCACAACTTAACTAAAATCAACAAAACGCCGGAAATTTTGAAAAAAAAACAAAGGAACAAATTAAATGTAACTTATCTGGTTTTTAGCGTAGTACCATTAAAAACATTGATTCAATTTGATTAAAAAAATTATGTTGAAACTATTTCTTGTAGTTGAGAAGTACTGCCTTAATTCAAATCAGATGAAGAAATATGAACGACTAACTTTAATGTATTCTGAGAAGGCAGACTTAATCTGTTGAAGAGCCTTTGCTCTCTGAAATAGGTCGAACAGGAGTCTCAATTGCTCCAATCTTCCTTCCGCGAGTAGTGTCGAGAAACCTAAGCACATGTCATCAAAAGTTAAAATCTTCCCAATGCATAGATCATCCATCATCAATATTTTGAAGTAAAGCCGCTTTCAGCACTGCGGGTAAAATACTGTGATAGGCAAAAATTTCCAACATAAAACCAAGATAACCCCCACCCATTAAGTTTGCAGTTTAGTGTGGAGCATGCTAGAAGATTGATCCCTAAAATCCCGATCCATTTCAATTTCATCACAATCCATCAATAAAATATGAAACCTCTCTTAAGAAGTCAAGCCAATAAATATCATTTATCGCCAACTAGAATTAACTTGGAATCTTTCCGGTACGTCACCATGTGCAAATGTATAACAACTTCATCCAAATACAACTCTTAAAAATTCACAAAAAAAATTATTTATGATTGGTACTTTATTAAATTTTAGAGAAAACTGGATCAATAGGTATTTTTTTCTCCGCTGGGAATTAAGGACAAAGTTCATTTTTGAAACAAGAGGACGTTCACGTTTTTCATTGCGGTTCGATAGTCGAGTTTGCCTTCCTTTTAACAAAAGGAATGAGCTGAACTTGAAAAGAAATCACAAGTCAAACCGCGATAAATCAATTTGAGCGTGAACACTTTTCAAGACTTTTCCTGAAAAAAAACCATCACGACCTATGGAAATGACAATCATTTATTCTTTTACGCTTCAAGAACAAAAAATTCTTTTCAGACTAGTTTTTTTCATGTTCAAATTGTCACACTCAAATTGTCTGAGAGAGTTTCGGCTTCAAAAGCATCTGTATTTACCTTTGGCCAGTATTTCGTCGACGTGTGCTTCCAGAAGCTGTTTCTCTACTGTCCTTATGAGTGGTTTACGAGTCGAATGGTCCAGGTACCTGGATGCTCTCTCTTCTTCCTCTTGTAGACGTTTTGAAGCACGTCTAAAACCAGGTTGCACGAAATACAGAAGAAAAAAGATGAGAACCTCCTTACATTAAATAACATATCTAATATCCAACGGTTTAGTTTCAAAAAAGAGCTATGATGACATCGATTGCTCTTATAACAGGATATAAAAACAACCTAAAGTTTTTTTGGTTACAGAAACAACCTCACGTCACTACCAATAGATTTTTCAAAGACTTAGGTTGATCAATTTCTTTAGATTAAGTTCAATTTGGTTCAAAATTTTATCAACTATACGGCTATTTCCTTACTTCTATCGAAAGTTATTTCTTTAACATCGTCTGCCATTGTTTTCTAGAGAAGACAAACGTATTGCAATCAAAATGTTTCAACTAACAATCCACAATATTTGGGGGGTGGATCAACGATTTTTGAAAATTGAGGGGTGGCACGAATTGATTTGATTTTTGCAACACTCGCAAGACAACCATATATTTTACTTGAAGCCTACTAGTTAATTCTTAATCAACATCTTTTCTCAATATTTTCATCTTCCACTATAGTTCATTGACATTACGTGCTGATTCAGATTATTAAGTAACCCGTCTATGTTTCCCTGAAAAAGCTTCTGAATTATATTGATTGGCCGTCATTTAACGAAAAGGGGTAGCTGCAGCGTGTAACAATCTAGCCGTGCACTGACTTGAGGTACTCTGTTATGTCTAGGGTGGATATAAGATGGAGTGCCTCTGTCCTGTACAAATGCTCAGTCGCATCCACAAATCGTTTCTCAAACATGCTGCTGTACACCTAAACGAAAACAACATGAACACGCAAACACTTCAAATCAGAAACATAGCGAACACAGCTGGAAAAGAGGGTGGAATCCCTCATATGCAAAGGACCAAATGGGCGAAAATATAAATCAGCCAATCAGACTTCAGTATTCAAAATTTGGAAAGAAAGCGTGAAAGCCTCAAAGAAAGTAAACTTTTTTCGGGGACTGACCGCCGGCGAATTGTAACATATTTTATATTTTACGGATTTCGTTATAAGAGAAGCAAATTATTAATTCATTTAATTCCTTGTCATTGAGCGGCAACTGTATCGTTTCAATAAATGAATTTTCGGTCCTTCTCCTATGAGTCTTTCGCTCATGAGAATAGCCGCCAAAAGAGTCAATGAACGCAAGTAAACAAAAAATACTTTTCTAAAAATTTCAACTTTCGCATTTCGAAGAAAAAAAATAGATGGCCTTGAAGCTCTTTGAATTACAAGAACAATTTATGATTGACACTCTTTTGATGAAACTAACCCAATGAGAAAACTGTACCAATAAGTAAAATTTTTTATTTTTGCTGGAAAATCTGACAATTAAATTCTACTTTCGAAACTCAAACGCGGTCAAACTCATATTTTTTGTAAGATTTGCACTTTTGCTGTTCGATAATAGATTTTGACTTCCTTTTAACACAGAAAATGAATTGAAATTAAAAAAAATCAAAAGTCAAACAGCGAAAAAGTATTTACGCCTGAACAAATTTGAATAATTCCTGAAAAAAATCATCATGACCTATATCAGAGTTAGCACTACGTTCATCGACTTTTACTCTTAATAAAAACTGGAACTTTACCGCAGTTTCCTGATTAGATTCTGTCCTACTGCCGAATTACACAAAAAGAACTTAAAATTATTCACGGATTTTTATGTGTAGCGTGCCGAAGAGTGTGTTGTGTGCCAAAAAACGCTTTTTAATCAAAAATATAATTGAAACACATAACAGTAATAAATCGAAATGACTGACTTTTCCGCGCAGTGGCAACAAATTCAACAACAAAAAAAAACAGACAAACAGTAGGCAGACATTTTTTGAACAAAAACTTTACTGGGTTTGCAAAATATAACGGTCGTGGCCGGACCTCTATTTACCCAAGCATTCACGTTACCTCCAAGCCAATTGTGCCAAAGAAAATATGGAATTTGAATATATAAATAACACAGAGGCGAAGTTGCTCTTCGCATACACAAGCAAAAATATGACCGATAACGCTACTGGGAAAAACTGAATGAGTAAAACTTCGAGTCTTCAAAGAATCTTGAGTGACGCACACCAATTTTGAGTTTACATAATTGCCAAGTGATGCAAGCCAATTATGACGCTTTAGCAAAACCAGTCAATTTGAAAAAAAAATTTACCAACATGCCTCAATTTATAGAGCGGACGCATTTTAGCTAGTATACGAAAAAGTTCATTGAAAACATCCAACCCTACCCAGGTTCGAACCCTTTTATTTTGTTGTGGGTCTTTTTCCCTACCTCTACGCTACAGATCCATCATACCTTGAAGCTAAGCGCTATTTGTAATATAATAGTCTGTGTCATATCCTTAGCATCGACTGGAACTAATAGCTGGTTATTGATCAAAATGAACACTTTCAAAATGAACACATTTTGTCGCAACAATATTGGCGACATAGGTTGGAAAAAAGCGAGTTCATACTATCACACAAGCTATGCTGAGTAAATATTAGAAATGATTCAATGATTCCATAAACAAATATAAGAAATGATTCAATAATTCTGTTGACAAGTTGTTTTAACTGAAAAAAAAAACAAGTAGGTTCGATTTGATTGCTAATCTTAACCAAAGAGGCAATTAGACTAGTGTTATTAGATAGGTGATTTCAATTGAATATTGAACACAGACACGAAGCAGTGCTTTTCCACCACTTACGATACAAAATTGTACCAGAATTATGGCGGAAAATAAAATAAAAATTTAGGCCAATCTAATCATTTTCTAATCTTATTGATTCATAAAAACTGAACAAACAGAAACCACGCGAGAACAACTTTTTAGAAGGAAAAAAATCGAAACCTTCTTTCTTTTACGACGAAGTAGTGGAAAACAAATATATAAATTTTTTTCTAATTGTTGCAGTCAGAAAGAATCAATATTTCAAGAAATTTAAATGAAGGCACTAATTGTTGCTTTCGTCTGTAAAAACAATGAAACCCTTTAGAAACAAAAGCCACCAAATGTTGCAAATGAAAAGATATGAAACAATTTCTAAAATATCAAAAGAATTTTCGTGGAACGCTATAGCAAAATACAATGAGATTTTTATTTCTAGTAAAAAAAAAGGCTGAAATCAACAAAATGCCGTGCTGTAGCAACTAAGCCGATAAAAAAGCAGACAAACAAAATTCTGACTAAGATTTTTGATAAAATGAAAATTGAAATTGTCCGTTCACAAAAAAACAGGCCCTGGCCAAATTCGAATCACGGACATGCATATTCCAATTAATAAGCGTCCACACTAACTTTGCATAAAATAAATTGGAGAGTATGGAGCCAAATTATGAATAACTTATGCATTTAAAAAAAATGCCAGATATATTGAGTAGGAAAATTTCTGAAATGGAATTTTGATTATTGCACTGTTGTTTGAAACAAATAGAATTTTTCGGCTCATTTGATGAATCAAAAAGGCTTCAACTGTGTTAACTTATTAATTATGTTAATATAAAGCACATGCTACCAAATACCGCAAAGGTGCCCCAAAAATGGCGCCAATATTTGCGACTTACGTTGGAAAACAAGAATATTCGTACTGTTGCACTACGCTCGGTAGTGTATATACTGAGCTCTGATTGGTTGGCAACCTATTCCCGCATGAGGGATTCGCTTAGCTTACATGCAAGTCTGATAGCATTCGGAGGAGGCACTTGATGAGGGAGGAGTTGACAAGTTCTCCGTTTCTTTCCTTCTGTAATAACTCTAAAATACCATCCACTGTCCTCACACAAATGGCCTTGCCATTGTCACACAGTACGCACTGTCTGAACAGCTCCAGTCCAATCTCCCTACACACGTGAACATAACGCAAAAATTGTTATGCTTCTACAATAAAAAAAAAATTTAAAATGGTCAAAAACAATTTAAAAATCCCGAAAAAAATTCATCGCAAGCTATACATACACGTCTACATAACATTCATTGACATGACTCCAAAACTTTGTTTTTACGAAATCCAAAAAATCAGTCAACTATTTTTGAGCTCGTTTAAGAAGCGCCGGCTGCTAATTTTTTTTCCGTAGTTATTTGGTTAAGCGAAGCTCTTTTTTGTGCCTCAAGGCCGTTTTATTTAGGCTCCTAGAACTTTCACGTGGTACCACTATTGCAGTAGAAATTATTTTTCAGTTTGACTGAAAGTTCAGCGAAGTAAAAGAAAGTCGATGTCTTTACATTGAACTGAATTGATAATATTTATTATTATTTTATTATTATAGGCGCAGTCTTTGCTCACCAGATGGAGTTCACTCCTGCAGTATGTAATGTGTACTTCCTGTCTATGACCAGAAAGATGCTTCTAATCATGACCATGTGTTGACAGTGAAGCTCCCACGCTGTGCCCACCTATAAAACACAAGACAAAAAGTATTGTAATGCAACGATGAACTTGACAGTAACCAGCATAAAAAAGGGGTTCTAAAAAGTCAAAAAATACTACCTTTCCAAAAAAAGACGTCTGAAATAACTGCCCATAATGCGGGATTTAAATGACATTATTCATCGGATTGATTAGTTATAATGGTTAATTTTTAAATTTTTACATTGCAATTCTATACGCAGAGGCCGAGCTTTTACACTAGCGAGAAAACGACAAAAAAAAACAGCCCTATGAATTGAAATGGGAAAAAGTATAAAAAAGCCTCGAATTAGTAGAACTTTCGCAATGTGTCGGATTCCAACCTGCGACCTCGAGTTTTGGATTCTCACGTCCTTCCCTCTCAGCCACAATTAACAATCGGCAATTACTAGCCACAAATAAAGCAGAGAACATGCTATGAAAACAAAAGATCGTGATTATAGAAAAAAGCCACCAAAAAAACATTTTATTTGCGAGTTAAGTTGGAAAAAAGTAGATTCATATTAATACACTACGCTTGCTAGTGTAATGATTACGGAACCGCGTGCTTTATCACTTTTCGATTATTTTCCTGCAAACAGTTTCCAAATTGCGGATATATTACAATAGGTGGTAGGTTAACCGGCAGGTCAACAGTAGTAAACACAGCAGCGTATTCAGAAATTCGACCCCCTGCCGACCCAAAGGGTATCCCCTTTATACTAACTTGAGATATCCATTTTTGGCTGACGGACCCTAAAATTTTTCTGAAGGCGCTTTTGGCGCCATAATGTAATAGTTATTTTTTGAGGGGGGGGGGGGGGGGAATGCAATTTTTTGGCAACATTTTCCAAGAGTGTTTAGAAATGCCTTTTTTGGCCGTTTTTTCAACAATTTGCTTAAGGCGCAGAAAATTTAGGATTTAGGAGATGACTAAGGAGAGCTCAGAAAATCAATTTGGTCGACCTGAAAAATGTTAATTTTTTTTTTTAAATCCGCCTCCCCCTTCCAGCAAATCCTAGATCAGTCCATGGGTGAACACGATACTAACCAGGCTGCAAAAAGGCTAAAATGGATAATTTCTCAATCAACTCAGAATTCTTATAACAGTATTTTTTGAGTCACAAATACATGAATCAACTGCTGTTGAAATGAAGTTCTTGGTAATGATATTAAATCTTAAACTATTCTCTTTGAACAGCTCAAACTGATTGCTACAGTGGCCGAATCAACTGACACAAAATCCCTATACCCCGAATTGAATCCCGTTGGAAACCAATTTTTTTGCGCAGCTAAGATAGATCAGTTGGATCTGCCACCTATTGCAATATATCACCAACAAATTGTTCTTCAGTAACCAGAACTTCTATTTAGAGATTTTGGTAAGGAAAACATTTCTAAAAAAATTGCATACATTTTTAGATCTTTATTCATCAACTTCTGAATCAAGAAAACAGATAGCGGGATCTTTAGATACTCAAAATGTCAGCCCTTTTAAAAAGACCAGTAAGCCTGAACATTTTCTCCATTGCGAAAAAACTATCCCCCTATACATACAATCGCCCCTATAAAATGCATTTCATCGAAAAAAAAAATTAAGTAAGCCACCTGTGTGAGGAACTGGTCCATATGAAGTGACAGCTGGTCACAGAGCTGTTTGGCAGTGTGGGACACTCTCTGATGACACACCAGTCTCAGGTCATCATACAGTCTGGCCGACAGATTATGTGTGCAGATGTCATTCACGCGGTCATACAACGTCTCCAGGCTTAAAAAAACAACAAATGACGGTGCACAAGTGCATTCGGTTCCTGCTAAAGCAGCCTAGACGGTTTGAACCATACTAATTTAAAAACTTTTTGAAAAACTATTTTGTGCTGCATCCCGGAGAGTTTGAAATAATATCTTTCATCGATCAAAACTGTATAGAGAGAAGCCGAGCTACCCAACACTTGCGATAGAAAAACAACATTGCAGCCTCGAAACTACGCAACATAATACGACTAAGCGGATATAATAAAAGCCAAAACCGTTTTGTCAAAAAAAAACAAAAAAATAAATAAAATTATTCAAAATCAGACTTAGTAAATTTATAAATTACAGAACTTTCAATTATTACAAAAACTATTTCAATCAAAGCAAAACCCAAACTTTGGAAAGTAAGTCAAAACAACCTCTGAACCAGGTAATAAAAATGGCATTTAAAAAACCAGAAAACGCACCGACGAAAACAAGGACGAAAACAACGAATCCGAAAAAAGTTCAATGTTTTTGAAAAACTTTATTTTGAAAAAATATTTACTGCCGAAAACGGACTAAACCTAAGAACTACCTAAATTAAAATAGTTTTATTTGAAAAATAAACATAGCCAAGATACAGTTGGAAAAAAGTCAAGCCAAAACTTTCAAACTTCAAAAAAAGATGCCCTGAAAGCTCTGGATTTAAGAACAATTTAAGATACACTTTTTTGATCAAATTAACCCAATTTGAGAAAACTGGATGAATAGATAAATTTTTTATTTCGCTGGGAAATCTGATATCTAAAACCCATTTTTGAAATTAGAAGTCGATTTTTGCTGCTCGATAGTGGAGTTTGCCTTCGTAACAACAGAAATGCACTGAAATTAAAAACAAATCAAAAGAATCAAATAAATTCAAAAAAAAGAACGAAAAAATAAATTTGAGCCTTTTAGACTTTTCCTGAAAAAAACTTTAAAAAATCATTGCGACCTATGTAAGAGTCTGAACTACGTTCATGGACCCTTAATTACTGCCAGAATTACTCCACCTAATTACAAGCTTACCTATAAGATTGTAATTTTATTGAAACTTTCACGGAATTGAGCATCAGCAGTATTATGATTCATACTAAATTGACACATCTGTTCTCACAACTACGCAATATAAGTTCAATAAGTCGATGAAACGTAAGCCGAAACCTTTTGATCGAAACAATAACCTTTAAAAATATTCAAAATCATAATTGGTAAAACGACAAATTACAGAACTTTCAATTATATTATTAAAATTTAAAATCAAAACAAGACTAATCGTATCAGGGCGAAGCCTTGAATGTTCCGACTGCCTTTTAAGGTCTATGGAGAAGTAATAACATGAAAAATTAAAATATGTAATAAAATAAAATGAAATTTTTTGAAAACATCCCCCCACACGTCATATTAAGTACAAAGTGATAGATTTTGCTCCTATTAACAAACCAATTATGGCATATAAGCTTCCTTGAACCAATTCGGAACAATTTCTAAGACGGATTAAATCTCGCTTACGCGTTAATAGCGCGAAATACATCGCGCGTTAATTGTCCCAAGTTGGCAAAACGGCTATCTTTAAACCCCCATAACTTTACGAAAAATGATCACAGGTAAAATATTGTTTCAAATTTAAGCTCCGGACAACAATAGCTTTCGAATGATTTTTTAAAAATTCCGTCAAAAATGGCTAGTTAAAAAGTCGAAATTTGTCTGAAGAAAAAAAACACCCCGAGCACAAGTATTCCGTTACTTTCTTACGAAAGTCGGAACAATAAAATCCGTCTTTACAAAGTAACCCGATTAAAAACAGTACCAGATAATATAAATGCGATTTAAACAACGGACTATGAAACGACGAAAACAAATCAGAAAAACACGAAACCGAAAAAACAATCATGAAAAAAATGTGTACTGCCCAAAACGGACTACACCTTTGTACTACCGAAATTGAGATAGTTTGATTTGAATTTTCAAGAAAAATAGCATGTCTTGAAAATAACTATTCCTACGAAATTGAATATTCTGTGAACAAAGTTACTTAGAGGAAAAAGTCTAGTACCCGGGGTTGCAACACCCTTGCTGATCTTTCAATCTTAAACAGGCGGCGAGGCATGGTCCTAAAGAACATTTCTGCGCTCAAAATGCATGATTGATTATGATGGAGCCATACTTCCCAATTCAATTGCCTGTATAATCTATTGCCGGTATCCGACAAAAAAAGTCACCAATCTCATATAACATTTAAAAAAATCTGGGGAGTCAGTTTTGAGCAAAACTAGCTGTGACAATTAGCAAAATAATTTAATCAAGTTAAGTGCACCTACTTTACACTAGTGGGTTTGGAGTCGTGTATGGCGTCTATCGCTTCCTTCAGTTCAACCCAGCTGCGCCCGTAAAAGTTGTCCGGCAACACTGGGCCAATCACTGAAACAACACAAAGCAAAAAGCGTCAAAAAAGCACAGCCATTAAGCGAAGGGTGCAAGTAAGAGGAGAGGGGAGGATAGGAGGAAATTCATTAAAAAGTACCAATTCATATATCCTTAATCGTTGCTTTACTTCATGATAGTGATGGCAGTTCTTTACTAGGTACAGTAGGGTGGCGGGGGATAGTTAACAAGATCCCAAGTAAGAGCCCCTAAAAAACAAGTATGAACGATGATTCCTTCTATTTTGGTTTAAATTGCCAAAATACAAATAACTAAAGATAAATTATCTTTCCGAACTTCCTAACGACCAGATATTTCTTGAGGGATCCATCTATGGGTGGGCAACTATATTTTCGAAGGAGCCGTATCACACCACTATCATTTTGTACTTATCTAGATTCTAGAAAAACCAGTTCTAGCAGGAATTTGCTTAATTGATCTGATAAAACCATCTTCGACAAACTATTAGAAAAATTTGATGTGACCCTGAATACGTATCAAAGGGTTGCTCAAAATAGGTAGGAGTTCACTTAATTGTAAAATACGCAATCAGTTCGGTCAAACTACAAAGATTAGGTCAACTAAAGTGACCAAACAAAATAAACAAGGAATAGTGGAAACACCATGAAAGTTCATAAATAATCAACACCAGCAACAAAACATGAATAGGCTGCATAATTTTGCTTCTCAAGGTTATGAAATTTTGCGGACCTTTACTATCAAAATACCAACGATAACTGATATTTTAAGATATTTTTTAGAATTTGTTTTATGAAATCCTATTAAAACGCACCTCCAAACTGCAAATTCACTCTACAGGCTTTCAAAATGAAAGAAAGTCTTTCCAACATTAGCAACATTGCTGACTTTATAAGACACCATATAGGCTATGACAGCAACGACACCTCATTACAGTGGCAGAAATTGGTGTTCTGTTATCCCGATGATGGCGACAGCGAATTCGTTCGAGAATTGGCGTTCCAAACCTTTTTGATCTACACCAGAATTATATCGTTTCTTGGCCTTATTGGTAGACCGTACACAGTATATCTAGAGAAACCCTCGAAGCCAAACTTAACCACCTTTATGGTTTGTGAGCTTCACAAAGAACTCATGCTTCTCGCTTCATACAATGTAAGCTACCGGTGCCCCTACTTCCTTTTTTTAATACCATTGTTTTCCAAATGACATGAGGAGAAAATTGTGCCGACTGTAGAGCAAGTAACACATAATGGTCCGACCAGACTGATTAAGGACGAATAGGAAAATAAAGCAAAAAAAATGTGGATCTTTTCAATTTTTGTCTAATTTAGTCTGAAAACCGATTTATTCAGTCCAATTTTTCTTCGGCACTAGACAATTTTTGAAATACTTTTTGAAACCGAATCATGACAAAACTGGCTTTAATATGATTCCACACTTGAACCCCTGTAATTTTTCCTGGAGGTACGTTAGACTGGGTGGAAAATACACTAGCTAATCCATAGTTCCTTTCCTTCGCTTGAAGTGATCGAACCAACAAACCGCTAAATACGTGATACCGTTTAAAAGACTCATTATCAAATAGCTGAGCAAAAATTGTAGTCTCTGAAAAAAAAAACAATACCTTGTTGTTGCAGAAATAGTTCAGAATAGTACGCTATTTCGATAAAAATGTACGGTTTACCAAATGCCATAGCCTATACCTACATTATCTTCTGCTATTTCTATCGCAAATCGTTCCGAAAAGATTTCGCCCAAGATTATTACATCATCATTTCAATATGCTGTGGCGTACTGCTTTCGTGTTGGACCAACGTCATAACCGAAATTATCGGTTTTATTTGGGACGAAACCAATAACCATTTCCTTTTCTCATTATTGATGGATTTTCGAGTTTTCTTCGGCTCTGACATTCTACACTTTCTTGCCTTACTTTTATCATTTTTCCGATTTTATGCTTCTTGTAAGCCGATCCGTCAATATGTCAAAATATTCTCACATTATGCCATTTTAGGGTACTGCGCACTTTACACAACGGTCAGTTTATTCATTATAGCATTCAAAGAATCATTGGTATGCGGCAGATTATTTGATGATGAAACAACCCAAAGCACATCAGCTTGTGCTATTATTATAATTCATCATATTTATTTTCTAACTAGCATAATAGTCATTTGCAGACTTCATTATTTAACGGCGAAAAAACTTCAGAATGACATCAATGAAGAGGAGCAATATCTGAAAAGGTTCACACAGGAAAGCATGCTGGACCCTTCTTCTGAAAGCGGCGACACCGGTCCTTAGTTCAACTATTCAAAAAATATCAACAATTAAGGGCAGATCTATGATTTTTGCTAAGTTGCGGATTTTTATTTACCTCCCTAAATCCTCCCAATGCAAATTTATCAAAAGTGAAGAAGTTTAAAATCGAGCTGAACATTAAAGTGTCAATTTTCTTAAGACCACCAGTTTTCATTTTCTACAAGGAGCATCTATTTCAACAGCAGTTGTTTTTCACAACTTTTTTATAATTATTTAATTTATTTATTAATGTTATTTTCAGCAGCAGTTATTTTTCACAACCTTTATAATTATTTTGGGGGATTTTTTCCGATATTCAATAAGGATTTTTTCCGATATTCTTACAAGAGTCAAATCACCGTGCAGATTTTAATTTCCCAAAAATTTCATCAAAAAAAGTTTATGTACAATTCTTCATCGCACCTAAACGTCAACCGAATTTTTTACACCTTTACCTTTTGTTATTGAAGCGTGTAAGTTGACTTCGACTTGGAAAAAAATTAATAGCAAGTTTTAAATCAAACCGCAAATATAGCCAACAGACAGTTGGAAAAGGCAATTAACGCAAATAAACAGAAAAAAAAAGACTTATTTTATGAAAAAATTTTTAATGTTGAATTTCCAAGACAAAAAAAATAGCTGGCCTTACATTTCTCTGAATTTCTGGAACAATTAACGGTTGACACTTTTTTGATAAAATTCACCCAATTTGAGACAACTGGGTCAATCGGTAAAACTTATATTTCGCTGAGATATCTGATAATTAAATTCCATTTTCGAAATTAGAAGTCAATCACGTTTTTCGTGATTTTTAATTTTTACTGTTCAATACTGGAGCTTGCCTTCTTTTTAAAAGGAAATGAACTGAACTTGAAAAGAAATAAGAAAACCACCGCGAGAAAGTTAATTTGAGCCAGAAAAAAAGATCATGACCTATATATGAAACTGAACTACACTCATCGACTCTTAATAAAGTCTAAAAGTTCTTAGTAGTTTCCCTATTACATTCTGCCCTGTTGCTGAATTATAAAAAAAATTCAATATTATTCACGGAAATATCCTTCAAAACCTAGGTTTCCTGGAGTAAGTTTCGTTCTACTCGAAATCGGACTAAAAAGCACAAAGTTCAAATCGGTTTTAATTGACATTTTTTAAAAATTTGTTCGAATCACGACTGAGGAAACGAAGAGGGAAGAATAAAATTGGAAAAAAAAACTAATTAAAATTGAAACGTTTTACGAAAATTTCTGAAGCTGATAGACAAGAATATATCAAACATAAGTCGTAACATTCTGTGCTACCTGCACTGATATCAACCGGCTACTCTTGATGACAAACTACAATACGTTGAACTAAACATGGATGACATAGATAACTCTCCCGTCTACCTCAAAGAGGAAAAACAGTACGTCGAGACTATACGACTATATATGATTCTCATTTCAACACTTCTCAGTATCTATTACCTCACCTGGATCATAATTACTTCTACGACACTTTTTACTGGTCACTTTTTCGGAAAAACCGAATTGTTAAAAATTGTCAGCCTATCTCGACTAATCAGCTGTGCTTTAACTGACACGCTGTTGAAACTTCACTTCGTATTTTTCATTCGCACCAATTTTGAGTTCAAACTGACCTTACTTCAGCCCTGGCGCGACTTCCGCAAGGTGTTCTGCAAATGGTGTGAGCCGCGGCCTTACAGAAATATGTACTACGAGCCTGTGGTTTTTGTCACAGAATTAACATCAGCTTCTGCTACCGTCAATTGAAATTTCAAACTGATATAGTGGCCTTTTTGGTTAATATTCTGTGACATCGAAAATTTACCGAAGTTTTACAACTCAAAACATATAGAGCTTATTCTTTTTCAGCAAAAAAATATGGTTTAAGAAAAATTACGAAGATTTCAAAAATGGGAGAAAACGTAACAACTAAATCTGACCTTGCCGCTCAGTGAACACCCAAAAACGCCATTTTTATGGGGCTAACCTTAGTATTAAAAAAAACGATACAACTGTCGACAAAAATAGCCAAATGTCAACATAACGTAAGCCCTTTAGGATTTGCTGCTCCGTTTAAAGTGCCTTGTTTATTTTTTAATTTAAAGTATTTGTCAAAAAAATTTTGCCAATAAAAATAGATGAACACGCCGAACAGAAAGCTTAAAAAATACTTAACTTAAGAAAAACAATTGTACTAAGATACAATTGAAACAAGCCTTCTTTCTTCTTTAAAAATCACACATTCATTGCTGGCTGTAAGTGGGCTAAGCTCTACTCTGATGCCCGGAAGAAGGGCGGTGAAACTTCCGTAGAGTTTTTGAAGATGTAGTTTGGGATTAGAGGAATGTGCATCCCCTCACCACGACCCCCCCTCCCGGAACCTTATATCGACCCAAGTCGATGGATTTTATCATTGTTTCATGTTAATGATCTTAAATAAAGCTAACGCACGAAACGTATTTTGGTCTACCTCTTACGAACTGTTTTTTTTTCTCGGCGTGCTTGCCTTCTGTCATACGTTCTAATCCTACACACCAAAAAGATTTTTTCTATAATATCAAAAAGCTTAACAGAAATATTACAAAAGGTGGCAGATGCAACTGATTTAACTCAGGTAAGCATAAAAGCTGGTACCCACCGCGAACCGAACTCGAGCCTATAGGACTTCAGACATAAGTTTTAGACACTATACCAACTAGTCTGCAAATTGATTAAAGAAGAACTATACGAACTTAGTGTGAAAATCTTAACGAGATTGACCGGTTTCTGTTCATGTGTTTGTACCCCATACCTATGCCTACAATTAAGAATTCTCCGTTGGGTTATAAAATTTTCACTATTGCAGTTTTTACAGACTGCTCAGTTAAGTGGCTACACCATTTGACAAAAAAGTAGATATATGGGTTCGATTACCGCTGGGAGCGTTTTTGTTCAGTACAGATTGAGATTAGTGGGAAGTAAAACCTGCCTCAGAAGTGAAACTTTTTTATAATCAAAACACTCGAGCAAGGAAAATTTTCAAAACTTCGTGGTTTTTTAACCTTATTAGACCAATTGGCAAAAGAAGGCTTTTTACGCAGTAGCGATGATTTTCAGAAGTATTGAATTTATTATGTATAGTAAATCGCTTCACCAGAAGTCGGAGTTTTTCTTGGAAAACAAGTCATGAACTGTAACTTCGAATTTTCTCTAGTTACTTCAATTTCGTGAATCGATTCGCAGAAAATTTCGAACTTTCATAGAAGCTGACAAATTGCTCAACCTTTTGAATATTCCAAGTTTTTTTATAACGAAGCGATTATCATCAATATAAAACTTTTCCCGGCAAGCAATGAAATTTTTAAATCAAAACCAAGAACCCATTCGCAAAATTAGTTGAAGTTAAATTTGATTCCATTGGCGCGAAATTAAAACTTTTTAAAGCAAAAAAATGAGCATGAGAAAATCAATTTTGAAATTTTTCCAGTTGTTCTTTGTACAGTTCTTTCAATTTCAGTTGTTTCATTGCGTAACAGAAAAAAAATAAGTTATTCCGGCCAACAACAAACAAGTATTGAACAAACCATCGTTAGTGGTCACTAGAAAAGAGACTCAGAAATGAGAACAGTAAACAGCTCCAAAAAACCTAAAAACGCCTACCCTGGGTATTTTTGATGTTTTATTATCAGGAACCGTAAAACAAAACCACTTTTTTCCAAACCGAGAAAGCCGCAAAAACTTTTGGCGCACCCAAGATCGAAAATTTGATTGCTTAAACAGACAACGCTTACTCCAACCAGAATCATGCACATTGGTTTGCACTTTTCCTTATTAGATTCGTAAAATCGTCCAAATCTAAACTACGAGCAACTGGAGGACCACCCAGATTTGCATTGGAATCGCAACAAAAAATTACACCCCAATTAGCATTCAAGTGCCAGTAAAAAAAATCTCGTTCAAACTTACTTTTGAACGTTTTGAGAAACTTTTGAAATATTTGTGAAGCCATCCATATCCTATTAACTGAAAACTTCATCAAATTTGAATTATGGCGTTATAATTGCAATCCTAAGCAAGACCTCTGTTAGCATTCAACCAGGAGAACCAACTCGACCACGAAATAAAACTAATTTTGTGACTTTTTTCAATAAACATTCGGAAACTCGTCCATAACTTCTTAACTCAGAGCTCCTGGAAAAAAAGGCTTAATTTTGGCATAAGAATCGCAAGCATAGAAAAAACAATCGTTAGCATGCAAGCGCGCGTCCAAAATTTAGATTTGAAATAATAAGTTGAAAATGTAATCGAAGTAATGTTTCTCGAATCTTCAGGGCATTCTGTATACTCAACTTGACAAACATAAAAACTTATTTCAAAATTTTTCAGATTTCGGACTAAGAAGCTTCATTGCTCTGCGTTGCCTTCCTCTCCTAGCTTTGCGCTGCCTTGTCCGTCCTTGCTCTGCGCTGCCATGATTGGCGCTGCTGCCCCGCCTTCAGCTGTCCCTCATTGCACTGCGCTGCTCTGTTTATGTCTTACGCTGCCCTGCCCGGCCCCTTGCCTCGCGCTGCGCAGTCACTCCTTGCCTTAAACTGCCTTGTTTCACCTTACCTTGCGCTGCCCTGCCCCTAATTACTTTAGACTACCCCTCTTTGCCGTGCGATACGTTGCTTGCCGTACGCTGCTCTGCCACTCCTCTCGCGCTACCCTGCTTTCTCTTAAGCGTTTCTGTCTTGCCTTACACTGCACTTCCTTGCACTACGCTGCCACTTCTTGCCTTGAATTACGCTGCCGTGTATTGCGTTGCGCTGCCCTTACACCTTTTGCATTGCGCTACCCTGTCCTCCGCCTCTTTGCACTGCGCTACCCTGCCTTGCATAAGAGGTCTTCCCTTGCCTTACACTGCCGTGCCTCACATTACCTTGCGCTGCCCTGCCCCCACTTAATTAAGCGTACCCCTCTGCCTTGCGCTGCCCTGGCACTCCTATTGGGTTGCCCTGCTTTCCATTACTGTCCTGTTTTGCCTTACGCTGCCCTGCCTTACGCTGCCTTTCCTTGCTTTACGATACTTCCGCTCACCAAACACCGCCCTGCCCTCCTCCTTGCTTCGCATTGCCCTGCCTTGCCCTAACCTGCTTTGCGCTGCCCTGCTTTGTTTTTGCTGCCCTGATCTGCCTTTCTTTCCGCTGCCCTGATCTGCCGTGCCTTACACTGCTCTGCATTGCCTTATGCTTCCCTTACTAGCTTTACGCTGCCCTGTTCTGCGCTGCAAGGCAAGGCGTTGCCTGATCTGCCTTGCCTAACACTATTCTGCCTTGCCTTGCCTTACGCTGCCCTTACTAGCTCTAGGCTGCCCTGTTTTGCGCTGCCTCGCATTGCCTTTACCTCTTGCTTTGCGCTACCCTGTCTTGACTTGAGCTGCCTCGCTGTGACGTGCCCCTTTCCCTTGACTTGCTGTACGGATATTTCCATTTGACCCAAATAAAGACCCTAAGTAGAAACTAATCCAGAGTTCGGCTTGAAAAAAGCTTCTAGAACTTTCAGGCCTTTTGCTTGAAAAATGTCCAACGCCCCTAATAATTTGTTAACCATTGTCCTCAAGTAAAATCGCTAAAATCTTGCGTCCATAAGGATTTAAGCTTTGCTTTTGAATATTAGAAAAAAGATATCAAAAACGTATTCTAAATATTTCGCTATGAACCGACGTACCATTTCAGCACTCTTATACTTCGGCACGTTGAGCGTGTTTGAAATGTTGATTTACTTATGAAAAACTTCCAGCAAAAACTGATCATTTGGAGGAAAAAACACATCGAAAAAAACAGCAGCGTTAAAAAAGCATAGAATTAGATAGAATCAGTTTCAACACTTGTATCGAAGCGCGTTGAGCCAAAAAAAAACAATTTTGCCATAAAACTTAATGGTTTTCAACTCACGTTTTCACGCCCCATGCTTTGAAAAAAAGCATAATAATCTATTTTCGTTCTTTAGAAGACACAATTTAAGGTAAATAGGCCCAGATCATATCAGACAAAACCACTCAAGAGAAAAACAAAATTAAGCGAAAGCTATGCTTAAGCGAAAGGTGCAGCCGGGAATCAAACCCTAAACCATAGAGCCCCGACGCAAAGGCTTTATCGTTAGAGGTAAAGAAACGTCAACTTCTTACTTACTTGAGAGAAATTTTCTTTACGAGAAACTCTAATTCCCAATTAAATTAAGGTTTCATGATAGAGCAACGTCAACGGTATGAAAGTTTTTGAGAAAAAGTTATTTTTTGCAAAAAGTGATAAAATTTTCCGAAGCGTTTCAAAAAAAACTAAAACAAAAAAAATCCCATACACTTTCATAATACATTCTTATATCAAACAGGAATTTTAGGAAAACATGGCAGGCAAGATATTTGATATTCAAATTAGCAACTGAGCAAAACTTACGAAGCGGAAACAAGGCCGACAATCTTTGAGAGACAGCAGTTGAACCGAAAAAAAAACAGATTCTGTAGAAAAAGTCTTCAGATTTGATAACGCTTGCTAATCGCAAGCGTAAAAATTTATTTTTGCATAAATATACGCTATACCCAAAGTTAATTCCTGAAAAAAAAACAATATTTTCTCCCCCTAAATCAATTTTGGGGGGAACTGTACGGTTGATCCTCTGATTGGCTAATTCTAATCCATCAGGTTGAATCAAAATAGTTTCAGTTCAAGATATAGAAATATTGATTTTGAGCGAAACAAGCCAAAGCTGAATTTTTTCTTTCGAATGACTTATCAGCGCGAGACATTATTTACCGTAACACTAAAAGTTCCAAATAAAACAACTACATAAATCGACTGCAAAGTTCACTAAACACAAAAGTTTCCATTTAACCTTCACATTTTGTTATGTTTACCTCTAAAGAGAGATCATTTGATTAAACAGAAACGCCCGTGCATATCATAGAACATTGACCAAACCATTGTCGACCAATTGCAACTTCAGGTGTTGTTTTTCGTTTTTCATCAAATATCATAACGAATTAAGTCCAAAATGTTGGAAACTAATGGAGATATTTATTTCGAAGTCCTTGCCGCCCTCCAATGGAAATCAGCCAGCTACTGGCGACTCAACCAAATCTGCTATCTTTTCCACCAATACTTCTTTCTCATAATTGTGGGCTATAACAACTTGCTTTCCCTATTCGGCATAATTGTCTTCTCTTATATACTATTTTGTTACTGCAGCAAGCGGTACCGTAGCTCCCATTTAGCTCCGGACCAACAGCTTATCATCACCTTAGTATGCGGTGTTCTGATTTCGAGTGTAGTTGCTCTAATCACTGGTCGCGTTTTTGTCAGTACTGACAAATATGTTCATTTCCATGCAAATACAGGTGACAATGATAATCAATCGACAGCAAAATTCAATCAGACTGACCATGATGCTTGGCCAAATTTTGTTCTCGCACTCAATGGAAATGTCCGAATTTTCTACTGCGATTCAATGTATTACTTTCTTCTTCTGCTACTGGCCATATATAGAGACAGTTTCAATAGGAGTTCCAACTATTGTTACACATTGTTTTCCGAATGGAAAAGTCTCAAATATCTCGCTATTTTTATTCTGGGTGGAGTCATCACAATCGCGATTACAATGCTTTTTCAGTTCATGCAAATGGGAAACAAAATTAGGTAAATTAGGCAAAAAAGTTTCCCGGTTCTTCTGCAGTCCCTCTCCTTTTTTCCTGAAATCAGAGCTACGGAATGCGGTTAAAATGACTTCAAGGTTCTCAACTGCAAAAAAAAAGACAAATCAGCGTGAACGGAGATATGACTAGGATGCGACTGGCTTTTCTTTTCTTATTAACGCAACATCAAAAACGGCGGCCTTTTCCTTAAAAAACTATTGATAAATTTACAGCGTGCATTCTTGAACCATAATCTCTACCACTTACACAGAGGCAAAGCTGAGCCTCGCAACGCTTGTGATACAAAGCAAGCATATCAATTCAACCTAGCAATAAAAATAAGCGATAAATTCAAAATCCCAACGAAAAGAATAAAAAGGTTTCTTCAAAAAATTGAAAAAGAAAAATTTAATTTCGGAAAGCTAGCCACAAAACATAGCCACCAGCATTTAAAATATTTTCGTGTACCCAGCGGCTACTTAGCCGACAATACTTGGGTAGAAGCCTGTTTAGCTGAAAACAAAAAAAAACTAATTGTTGTCAAAAATATTTCTATTGAGCGATTAAACCCTATCCCCTTAAGTATCAGAAGGCAAAAAAATTTTCTCTTGAAACTAAGGAAACTAGCCCAAAAAAACATGTACCAAAACCATTTGATTGAGAGAAAAACTTATTCAATATCCGGAAAATTTACAAATAACAATAGATATCAGACAAACTAAAAAACCAGGTCAAAACTGGAAACGAACTAACTACCGTAGATTGCAATGCGACATAAATTAAAAAAGCGTTTTCTAATTGCAAACGCAACACAGGGGCGAAGCCGCGCTTCGCAAACACTAGCAAGAAAATAACCTGGTAACTCTAAAAACTTTTCATAGCGTAACGAACCATATGACCAATGTATAAATGTTTTTTCTCTTAAAACGACGCAATATAAGGCGACTCAACATAAACCGAAACCATTTGAGTGAGAAAAAAAGAAAAAATTATACAAAATCAGAGTTGGTATACTTACACATTACAGAACAACTTTCAATTTTAGTGGAAAAGTTTGAATCAAAAACAATTACGACAACAACCATTGTCCGACAATCAAGTTTTCCCAAAAAAAGAACTCAATTTCTATACAAACCAATGAAACTCAACCTTGAGATCTTGATAACCTGCGATATTGAGCTTTTATGACAACTAATGGTCAATTTCCTTAAAATTTGTCAGAAAAATTGTTAACGGGAAAAGTCTACTTCCTGAAAAGAAGTAAAATTTTTCCCAGAAGTCTTAAAAAAACGCTGACAAAGCAAAAAAAGTTGAAGTTATTTATTTGGCTATCATAGCTTGCACGTATGCAGCATACGCATACATTCATCTACTAGCAGCCACAAATATTTGGGAGCTCTCGATGCAACACAAAATTAGCTTGGCAGCTAGCCAAGCTAAAACAAAAAAGTCAAACAACATAAATCAAACAAACACTTTATAATTGCAAACGCAACACAGGGGCGATGCCGCGCTTCACAAACACTCGCGAGAAAACGAAAAAACAGCTCTATACAATTAATAAGCCTCGTGTTAGTACAACTTTTCTTTGTGTCGGATTCCAACCAGTGAAATCGAGATTTGGATTCTCACGTCCTTCCTTCTGAGGCACGGACGCTTAACTATCGGCAAGCACTACGGACAAATAAAGCAGGGAACAGACACAATCAAATTTCTCATACTGCAGATCGTGATTATGGCAACAATACCAAATGAGTACTTTTACTAGCGAGTTAGATTGTATAATGGCTAGAGTGTAATATCAATTGTTGATAAAACAGGAATTTTCATGATATTGAGAAAGTCAGTATATATACAATTTGGTAGTTAAATTTAAATTTTCACGAGACTGAGATGTCAACATGTAAAAAAAACATCTCACGAGCTGAATTCTGTAGACAAAGAACCGGGGTATCTCAAGGGCAAAAATAAATAAGTGAACCTGGTTTCTTTTGTAGGCCCCAGAAATTTTTCACAAAGAACACGACAAAATGTCTGTTCTACAGCGAGAAAACGACAAAGCGAGAACACGACTAGCGAGAACACGACAAGATGTCTGTTCTATACAGTGCATTGAGAAAAAGTAGAAATAAGCCTCGAGTTAATAAAAATTCGGCTGTGTCTCGGATTCGATCTGCGATCTACTGCAACCTAGAGCATGGCTCTTTTCCAGCTTCCCACCCCCCTCGTAAAAATACAAAATGAAAAAGTTCATAAATTGTTCACACGGTATTTTTCATTTACGATATGGAATAAAAATTTGTTCACTTGTTCACGCTGACATGTTTTATTGCAGTTTTTAAGATGAAAAGTCATTCTAAAACGAATTTCATATAATGAGTTTCAGCAAAAAACAAAGAGGGGAACCGGAAAAAAGCCTCACGCACTAACCACTCAGCCACGCACGTTTAATGCATCACAAAAGCTAGTCACAAATAAAGTAGAAAACAAATGCTATGAAATTCTCATGCTAGATAGTAATTATAGCAAAAGTGCAACCAAATAAGTGAACACTTTCCACTTTCAATGAACAATTTTATTTGCGAATTAGGTTAGAAAAAAAACCCGTACACGCCTGTAATAATCAGACACATATCTTACCTATCATACTTTCTTTCACTTTGTTTTAGACTAATTCTGTGGGTAATTTACATGTTAGTATGGCATGCATTCTACATCACAACGTTAGTTTTGATCTGCACGTACTACCGAAGAACTGCCAAGAATATTCTTCTTAACATCGGCAACACGAAATCTTCGTCTAGCTCCTCGATGGAATCGGAGGAACACTGTATGCTTATCGAGTTCACCCCTACTAACAGTGAGCAAATGCAAAGGCGCGACCGAAAATACGTCTCACATCTAAGGTCAGAAAATTGGTCATTTTTTTCGAAAGTAAACAAGGAAAAAGAAAAAAGCTTAAAACATCCAAATATTTAGTTCCCCATTGAGTGCTTTGCCCTAACTTTGCTCATCTCATATCATTAGCTCAGTTTTGAACAGAAAAAAGGCGATTCGATTTTTGTTTTTTTTTCTCCTAGGTCTTTCATTCGAATCGTGTGCCCTATTCTAATTGTCAACTACATCTGCCGGGCTGTTTGCTCCAGCGACAAGCTTCGTTTCCAGTTGTCGGAACTCAACATCATCAAAGCAACGTCTTCATGCCAAGACACTAATCCCCTAATATCAGTAATAGAGGACGTGTGTCTACTGTTAAGCTATCTTTTGTCCGAACTTGTCGACACTTTGGTCAAGCTCTATATTTTGTTGCTCTTGAAAACCAACGACCAGTTCAAAACACACGTGACGCTTCCCATTCGAGACATCAAAAGAAAATTTTAACAAAACCTATCAAGTTAAGGCCAAGATGTTGACATTATCGGTGACCTTGAACAACCTCATCGGTCAAAAACGATGCAATTTTGGTTAGTTAGATTTTTGAATGGGATTTGAGAATAATTAATAATTAACTTTGTTTAGATTTTCTGACCAAAAATGATGCCAATTTGGCATCAACTATACGAAAGAAACTGCGAACAGCTAGAAGCACAAAATCCAAATCTCAATTGCATGAATAAGTTGCTAATTGATGATACGAAAGCATTGCAACTTTCTTTCGTATAAGTTTTCTTTGAGAAAAAGAGTTATATTTCAATTATAATTTAATTTGAAATTCTTCAATTTAATAATTTTTAAATTCTTGGGAACAACAGATCACAGAACAATTTAGCAAAAAATTTGATTGAAAATTACTGCAAAAAACTCAATCTCTAACTTCATAAAATATTTCAACTTAGAGTACGAGTTATTGTCCTATTTGAATGATTATATCAAGTTGAAGAATGAGAATACGTTTTTATGCTGTAGTTTTTTCAATGGATTTCTATAATCAATGAGGTAGAATTACATTCATACAGAAATAATTTTGCCAAACAGACACCTGGAAACGATCTCAGGATCCTATGGTCATTCTACCAATCCAGGAGAATCTGTGGACCCAATCACGCGGGGATCTAGGTTTTTCTAGATGAGGGTGGAAGTCTGGGGAGGGGTTTATTAAGATTTTTTTAGGTGAACAAAAATGATTCCTAACCCCCCCCCCCCCCCCATTCGCTACTGGATCAATCGTGATTCTTGAGTCTTATCTGCCGGAAAACAATTTATCATAAGTTTATTACACAGAGGCGAAGCAAAGCTTCGAAACAATTGAGATGTATCACAAAATTAGCATAGAAATCAAGCCGATCAAAAGTTAGACGGAATGCAACAAGTTGAAACAATGGTTCGGAAAAAAGTACAAAATAAAATCGAGTAAAATTTTCATGCCTTTGCAAAGTTCATTTTGAGACACGAATTCAAGAAAAATGTTAGCGTTAAATTAGCTAGGAAACAAAACTTTTGAAACGATACACAGCCGAAAATACTAGGGCAGACGCCCGTACAAGCCAGTGTTAGTTCTAAAATAAGAGCAAATAAAAAAGCTTCGGAACTTTTTGAAATTCCAAGTTCTAAATTCTTCCCAGATATTTTATAAAATTCGAAACTGTTGAAGTTGAACCAATCTTTCAGGCGAAAAAAGTACACAATTGAAGCTTGCAATTTTTCAAACACGGCCAAAAAGTAAATTCATATAGAATTGACAACTAAACGGGGCAGACATATTAAAATAATAACTGCTAGAGCCAAGGTCTATTGGGAGTCCTAAGCCTTAGAGGATGAGGCCTGCGAACGAAACTTTGAACGGGGATAAAATTTTGTATCCTAATGCAAAACACTTGCTCTCAAAAGTCAGAATAGGAAACACCGAAAAATTTCATTCAAATTTGAGTCAAGATAACATTCAATTGCGAATAATAAACTCGAAATGGTAAAATCACAACCAACATAAAAAGCAAATTTTTAGTCCGAGGCGAAGTTGAACTTCGCATACACAAGCAAATATATGCCCGATAACGCTACTGGGAAAAACTGAATGAGCAAAACTTTGAGTTTAAAAAATTTCTTAAGTGACGCACGCCAATTATGAGTCTACATAATTGCAAAGTGAAGCAAGCCAATGACGCATTAGCAGTACCAGTCAATTTGAAAGAAAAAGAAATTTACCCACAAACATGCATCAATTTATAGAGCGGACGCATTTTAGCTAGTATAGGAAAAATTTCATTAAAAAAATCCGACCCTGCTCAGGTTCGAATCCTTTTATTTTGTTGCTGGTCTCTTTCCTTACCTCTACGCGACATATCCATGATACCTTGAAGCTAAAGTGATATTTGATATATATTAGTCTCTGTTATTATCCTTGACATTGGCTGTACTTAATAACTGGATCAAAATGAACATTTACAAAATGAACACATTTTGTCGCAACAATTGCATCGCATCAAAATTTGCGACTTAAGTTGGAAAAAAAGATAGTTCATACTATAACACTAGCTATGCAAAATAAAAAAAAATAACAAAATCAACCATGCTCAATGTTTTCAACCAAGAGGAGTAGGATTTGCAAAGAGGACTAAGAGGTGAAGGAGTCCAGAATTGAGTCCGATGGACATAGGTAATTACGGGAAAAAATTCTAGTACCCGATTGTGATACCCTTGCTTATCACAAGGGTAACAAGGAAACAATTAAATGAAAATTAAAAGTATCTTTGTTAGTCTTGAATTTGACAGTCGAAGCTGCGCTTCGCAGATACTAGCGAGAAAACGAAGAAAGCAACTCTATAAATTGAAAAAAGATTAAAAGAAATAAGCCTCGAATGAGTAAAAGTTTTGCTGTCGGATTCGAATCTGTAATCTCGAGATTTGGAGTTTCACCTTCCCGCATCTGAGACATGGTCTTTTAAAACTTCGCTATCTTTAGCCATCAAGGTTGCATCTATAGATGCTAATATATTGCCAATGCTATGCAGAAAAAGGTCACCATAAATATAAAACTAGTGCTAAGAGCGGCGTTCAACGTCTGACCAGTAATTTAGTCTCACATCCTTACAACTGTCCCACGGTCGTTTTCAGATCATCAAAAACTAGTCACAAATAAAACAAGACCAGATGCTATGAAACTTCATTTGCTACAGATCGTGAAAAGCTAGCAAATGAGCTTTTATTTGCTAATTGGGGGGGGGGGGGAGTAGAGTCATAGTAACAAACTACGCTGGCTAGTGTAAGTATGGAGCACTTAAAATCGCCACTGCCAAAAAAACTGTTATTCAAGACTTGGAGAAAAACCAGCGTTTTCTTTGGAGACTATGTTTGAATCTAACCGTGTGTATGGATATTCATGTAATATTAACTAATCCTTGGATCATCCATAATCTGCCACTCAACTCTATAACCTCGCACATAAATCCCATCTCAAGCAGAAAGAGTCTTCTCACCCTCTAGAAATATGGTCAGATATCAACCGAATTTAGCATAAAAAAACCAGCTGTGATCAAGCTGACTCCGTTTGTGACAAGTTTTTGAAATCAGAAAATAATGACAAACTATAAACAAATTACCTTTTGCATTCTTGATGTTTAGCTTCTTTGCAGTCGTTCCGTTTTTCCTCATAAGGGAGCTGTGGGATCCATTTCGAACGGACACAGCTGAAAAATTCGAGAGAGGAATAGGAAGGGGACTAGAGGTGTTGGGACTACTGGATGAGTTGTCAACCTCCATAATCATTGTTGTCATTTCCAACACCGATTATGAATTTCAGCCACGTTGAAACAATATTTTATTGCCATCGCCACAACATTTTCATCTGAAATGTCATCTTTTCTGTCATAAATAAGGCTTTTTTCCATTATAGCTCTAGACTGTTGACAAAATAAATTCTAGTCCCCACGCTGCTTTGATTACTTCTATGGGGAAAAGCGGAGAGGTGGGTACAAAATTTGACAGATGGGTTGCCACAAATACGCTTTTTCATTCATTGAATTGATAGATTAGAATTTTTGAACTTTTCAAATTTATTTTAAAATGAAGATTTTAAACACATCTTTTCAAGCCCTGCTAATCTCTATCCATTTGTTTCGAAAGTACTTCGACACAAACTTCCCCAATTTCTCCCCTTCTAAAAATCCCTGCCTCACAGCACCAGACAAATCCTTGTCCAATTAAGGTCCGTTTATAGTCAGTCCCTTCCTGAATACTAGAATAGAATCTGAACTGAACTGGTAAAAAATTTGAACTGGTTGATGAAACTTCTACTATTCTAATATATCAACTTAAAAATCTGTTTTCTTTAGACTAAACACATCGTTTTTTTTGTTATAAAAAACTTTTCTTAATCAACTTCGTTCAACTCTTTTCTTTCTAGCTTCCTTCTCCCTCGTCACCTTTTCTTCCTCGTTCCAAATCAACCTAGAACTTCTAGTCCACCCACATTGATTTTTCAGATAAAAAATTGAATTACCTGAATCAAGACAAACAGTTGCACTCTTTATATAGTATACGTTTCTTATTGCTAAGCGCATCGTACCATGGGGCAGGTATTGACTTAATCAGTTGAACGCTACGCTATTGGATCAAATCCGATTTATTTTATGGAGCAATCTCAGAAAAATCTTCAATGTTGTTATATCGCCGATTATTGCAGATGCACTTTCCCCCAAAGTACTTCGACACAACCCCCCCCCCCCCCCCTATTTCCCCCTTTTGAAAATCCCTGCCGCACAGCAGCAGACAAATGCTTGCCCAATTAAGATACGGTTATAGCCCCTTCATGAATACTTAAACAGAATAGACCCAAACGTCCCTCCAAACTGCCCATACTATACTTCCCCATACGCCACTGTACACCAACTTAACTGTTCGAAGAACTCCACTACTTTAACTCCAGTAGACCTGTAGCTTCGGCCGACTGATGTCGCTAAGTTTCTAAAACTCGATTTGCGCATGCCGGTCATGCACCCTTGGGTCTGACAACCAAAAGACCTTCTCAACATGAGTTTTGGCAATTCTCAACTTTTCCAATCCCTAAGTTAATTTAAAAGATCAACCGTAGCGCAAAGCAGGTTGTCATAGAAGTCAAATGTTCGAACTGATCGGTATCATCACAATATTCATCATGATTAGCGGCGGATCTAGGCTTTTTCGAGAGGGGAAGTGGGGGAAGTTAGACCTTCTTCTGAGGTCATCCAAATTGATTTTACAAGCTCTCTCAAAATCGTAAATAACCGAATTTTGACAAATTTTTTTGCGCCGCAGTCGAATGTTTTAAAAAGCAGGCAAAAATGACTTTTTTAAGCACTTTTAGGAAAGTGCTGACCAAAAAATTGCATTTTTTTGGCTCGCGCTCCCTAAAAATTTAAATATCTTTGCGCCAAAGACACCTTCAGAAAAATTTTAGGGTCGGTCAGCAGGAAAAAAATTCCTAAAAAATACCCGTGAATAACAGTGAGACGGGTCTGATTTAGACAGTGAACTTAATAACCGGCAAAAGAAACAAAATCAAGGCATTTTGGTGGGTGATTAAACAAATTAGGTGTTATATACATAAATGTTTCACATTTGCTTGCCCTCAAATCGAACGTGGAAAAAATTTAACTGCTGTAATGAATTTTGCTTCAAAATTCTGTTTAAAATTTTCTTCTCGTAGGGTGCCATGCTTTTGCTTTGTTTGCTTTATCGGCTCTAATAATTTCCCATTAGTTAAGTGTCTGGATCAAACCCGTCTCTTCACTAACAAAACCCGTCTCGCTATCTTTAGCCATCAAGGTTGCATCTATAGATGCTAATATATTGCCAATGCTATGCAGAAAAAGGTCACCATAAATATAAAACTAGTGCTAAGAGCGGCGTTCAACGTCTGACCAGTAATTTAGTCTCACATCCTTACAACTGTCCCACGGTCGTTTTCAGATCATCAAAAACTAGTCACAAATAAAACAAGACCAGATGCTATGAAACTTCATTTGCTACAGATCGTGAAAAGCTAGCAAATGAGCTTTTATTTGCTAATTGGGGGGGGGGGGGGGGAGTAGAGTCATAGTAACAAACTACGCTGGCTAGTGTAAGTATGGAGCACTTAAAATCGCCACTGCCAAAAAAACTGTTATTCAAGACTTGGAGAAAAACCAGCGTTTTCTTTGGAGACTATGTTTGAATCTAACCGTGTGTATGGATATTCATGTAATATTAACTAATCCTTGGATCATCCATAATCTGCCACTCAACTCTATAACCTCGCACATAAATCCCATCTCAAGCAGAAAGAGTCTTCTCACCCTCTAGAAATATGGTCAGATATCAACCGAATTTAGCATAAAAAAACCAGCTGTGATCAAGCTGACTCCGTTTGTGACAAGTTTTTGAAATCAGAAAATAATGACAAACTATAAACAAATTACCTTTTGCATTCTTGATGTTTAGCTTCTTTGCAGTCGTTCCGTTTTTCCTCATAAGGGAGCTGTGGGATCCATTTCGAACGGACACAGCTGAAAAATTCGAGAGAGGAATAGGAAGGGGACTAGAGGTGTTGGGACTACTGGATGAGTTGTCAACCTCCATAATCATTGTTGTCATTTCCAACACCGATTATGAATTTCAGCCACGTTGAAACAATATTTTATTGCCATCGCCACAACATTTTCATCTGAAATGTCATCTTTTCTGTCATAAATAAGGCTTTTTTCCATTATAGCTCTAGACTGTTGACAAAATAAATTCTAGTCCCCACGCTGCTTTGATTACTTCTATGGGGAAAAGCGGAGAGGTGGGTACAAAATTTGACAGATGGGTTGCCACAAATACGCTTTTTCATTCATTGAATTGATAGATTAGAATTTTTGAACTTTTCAAATTTATTTTAAAATGAAGATTTTAAACACATCTTTTCAAGCCCTGCTAATCTCTATCCATTTGTTTCGAAAGTACTTCGACACAAACTTCCCCAATTTCTCCCCTTCTAAAAATCCCTGCCTCACAGCACCAGACAAATCCTTGTCCAATTAAGGTCCGTTTATAGTCAGTCCCTTCCTGAATACTAGAATAGAATCTGAACTGAACTGGTAAAAAATTTGAACTGGTTGATGAAACTTCTACTATTCTAATATATCAACTTAAAAATCTGTTTTCTTTAGACTAAACACATCGTTTTTTTTGTTATAAAAAACTTTTCTTAATCAACTTCGTTCAACTCTTTTCTTTCTAGCTTCCTTCTCCCTCGTCACCTTTTCTTCCTCGTTCCAAATCAACCTAGAACTTCTAGTCCACCCACATTGATTTTTCAGATAAAAAATTGAATTACCTGAATCAAGACAAACAGTTGCACTCTTTATATAGTATACGTTTCTTATTGCTAAGCGCATCGTACCATGGGGCAGGTATTGACTTAATCAGTTGAACGCTACGCTATTGGATCAAATCCGATTTATTTTATGGAGCAATCTCAGAAAAATCTTCAATGTTGTTATATCGCCGATTATTGCAGATGCACTTTCCCCCAAAGTACTTCGACACAACCCCCCCCCCCCCTATTTCCCCCTTTTGAAAATCCCTGCCGCACAGCAGCAGACAAATGCTTGCCCAATTAAGATACGGTTATAGCCCCTTCATGAATACTTAAACAGAATAGACCCAAACGTCCCTCCAAACTGCCCATACTATACTTCCCCATACGCCACTGTACACCAACTTAACTGTTCGAAGAACTCCACTACTTTAACTCCAGTAGACCTGTAGCTTCGGCCGACTGATGTCGCTAAGTTTCTAAAACTCGATTTGCGCATGCCGGTCATGCACCCTTGGGTCTGACAACCAAAAGACCTTCTCAACATGAGTTTTGGCAATTCTCAACTTTTCCAATCCCTAAGTTAATTTAAAAGATCAACCGTAGCGCAAAGCAGGTTGTCATAGAAGTCAAATGTTCGAACTGATCGGTATCATCACAATATTCATCATGATTAGCGGCGGATCTAGGCTTTTTCGAGAGGGGAAGTGGGGGAAGTTAGACCTTCTTCTGAGGTCATCCAAATTGATTTTACAAGCTCTCTCAAAATCGTAAATAACCGAATTTTGACAAATTTTTTTGCGCCGCAGTCGAATGTTTTAAAAAGCAGGCAAAAATGACTTTTTTAAGCACTTTTAGGAAAGTGCTGACCAAAAAATTGCATTTTTTTGGCTCGCGCTCCCTAAAAATTTAAATATCTTTGCGCCAAAGACACCTTCAGAAAAATTTTAGGGTCGGTCAGCAGGAAAAAAATTCCTAAAAAATACCCGTGAATAACAGTGAGACGGGTCTGATTTAGACAGTGAACTTAATAACCGGCAAAAGAAACAAAATCAAGGCATTTTGGTGGGTGATTAAACAAATTAGGTGTTATATACATAAATGTTTCACATTTGCTTGCCCTCAAATCGAACGTGGAAAAAATTTAACTGCTGTAATGAATTTTGCTTCAAAATTCTGTTTAAAATTTTCTTCTCGTAGGGTGCCATGCTTTTGCTTTGTTTGCTTTATCGGCTCTAATAATTTCCCATTAGTTAAGTGTCTGGATCAAACCCGTCTCTTCACTAACAAAACCAAAGGGAGCACCTTTTAAGGGGCAGGGGGTAGAATATATGAGGGAGGAGGTGGCCGCCCAAAATCCGCTACTGATCAGAAAAGATTTCTTAAAATCGTCTTAAGAATCAATACCCACTTCTAATTTTTACACAAAATATTTTAATTCAAATCTTGAACAGTACTTTCTGGAATTCAAAACAACGCCCAGATTGATTACGACATCGCACTATCCCAAATACCTCAGACGTAGCTAGTGAACCTTTTTGTACTCTCCCTAGTTCATGCAGCGTGAGGACAAAAGCAAATGATGGTTTCCAAAACAATGTTTGACAGGCCCAGCAACTAGTCTTTTTGAGCAAAACTGCAAGGATCCATTGGTGCCGCCTACTCTTGATGAACCCGACGGCGACAAGTCACCGCAAATGGCACCAAAACCCCCCTCCCGTGTTTGGAAGCGCAGAAGGCATGCTGCAACCGTGTTTTTGGTGGCGGATAGTCCGAAAACGGCTGGAATGCTCAAACTTTTGATACTTATCCGCATTTTACGTGCCGGCATTAACCAGGCCCCTTGATCTGCCTTCCCTGTAACATAAATATCAAGCAAGTGTTTGGTTTTAATTTCTGCGTGCATGATGTCAATGATTTTCACCCCTTCGTCCAATGACGCGACTTGAAATATGACACTGACATTGAGTAATTATATTAACACACTGCACGACATTTTTACAAGAAGATCGCTCGAATTTTCTTCCACAAAGGACTCTATTAGTCGTATAAAAAAAGAGTTGCATAATAAAGAGTTTAACTCTGATCCTCAGGGAACAATATGCGGTCGTCAAGAACACCGAAGTCTTTTTTGCCCCTTCATTAAATTTTGCCGAACATTGCAAACGCACATCATCCAAAGCCATGTGCATGATATAGCTGCTGAAGGCGCTGTCTGGTTCGAACTGGTGTCAGTCGAGAAAGATTTAAATATTAATTTTAAAACTTTACTCAGATCAATCCTGGACTGCGCCTGTCCAGCTTGATCTCACGCCGCTATTGACACACCCATAAGTTGAATGCAAATAGTGCAAAATGCAGCTCTGCGGATAGTGAATGGGTGTACAAAAATGAGCCTTATTGACTACCCTCATTCAGGATGCAAACTACCCAACGTCAAAAATCACAAAAAAACTCGAGCCAATAAGTACCCTCCATTTCTACCATACTCACCCTCGACCGCCCGCCAGCAACGCGTTAACATCTTAAACTCTTATAAAGAGGAACTTCAACAAATTTTACTAGAAGCAAACGAGTCGAGGATCAGATGAGGATATAGCCCCAACTTAAATAGTTATAAGAATAGAATGGACCCAAATGTCCCTCCAAACTGTCCCTTCTGCCCCGCTCCCCACACTGCGTTACACTCGGGTGACTGTCGCCAAAAACAGAACAAAGCTGACACCAATAGACTTGTGGCTTCTAACAACAACAAAAACAGCAAATCTGGTTTAAAAAAGCCAAAAGAACAGCGCATTACATGGTATTATATGCAGCGAAGACATAGTTTAACAACGCGATTTAACATTTATGCTCAACAAAATTCTTGATCAATCTTTTTCGTTTATATTCTTCACAAAATGGTTAGACAAGTATTGCTTATGTTTCTACTGAAATGAAATTTTAATATAAACTATGATTTATATTAACAAACGACATAGAGATTTACTCCATCTTTTATAGGCAATGGAACTGCGTTACACTTAGCGAATGAGAATAAAAACAATCAACGAAAAAAAAAAGAATATCCAGTTGATGTGCAAGTAGCAAAAAAATGTTCCGAGCAGTTCTCCCTACAAAAACTGATTTTTTTCAATTTCTTGTTTTCCATGGAAATTTAGGAACCACATACAATCATCGGACTGGGTCGAATGAAACATCATATTGAAGCTCTTTAAATCGTGATTTGAACATCAAAAAATTTGTCTCGAGACAAACCTGATTAAAATTTTTGATTTTTCAACTAATTTTGAGCAAGTGAGCAAGAAATTGCTCAGTTATGCTCAATTTAGGCCTTGAAAATTTAGTTTAACTCAATTCAAAACAGCTTTTGCAGTTTTGACGCTATCTTAGGAATCAAAAACTAAAAAAAAAAAAAGATTTTTTTTTGTTTTTCCAGCATTTTTTCGAACTTGCCGATTTTAACATGACTGTCGAATATACCTACGTTCTTATTTTTTGTTCAGATCCTTTTATCACATTACGCAGGAAAAACTACGCTAATTGAACTTTTTTCGTATTTTCAAGACTATGATGGTTGTTGTAGTTGCCTGGTTAAGGGGCAGCGCATAAAGTTTCGTAGTTTCGGTCAGTTTTCGTTATAAATGGACTTCGTTTTTGTTTGGAATAGTTAGTGCGTTAGTTCAAGAAGTTCAAAGTCTTCAATAAGGTTATTTCAGGACTTCCAGTGGAAGATTGTTATTTTCGTCTTCTCTTCCAAGTCTCACACTGCGGCCTCACCGGAGTACCTCTGGGTAGAAGGGAGCCACCGATTCAAGTACCTGAGACGTCCTGTGATACAGTTGGCGGCGCCCGTTTCGTTGAGTCGCCAAGCCGTTAAACGGGGAGAGGATAGCAACACTATGGTCGGAACATTCTGTGCCACTTGCACAGTAACCGGCTATCCTGGTTTCTAAATAAATCCGAATCACTCCTGGTTTCTAAATAAATCCGATCTTTCTAGAGAGTCAAATTTGGCTATTATAATTTGGCTATTTGGCTATTATGAAGCCAGTATTTTTATCCGTCTTTAGAGATTGGAGGACCAGTAACTTGGATAACTCCAAAGACAGAGAAAAAACCATTGGATCAACCTAGACAGGATAGAAATTCATCATGATATATCTATGCTAAATGTGCTTAAATTGTTTGCTTGAAAACTACAGGTTATGACTCTGAAAAGCCAGTGAACTATTTAAACTATAAGGGTAGCGCAACAAAAAAAACTCGCACAATTTCCTAACAGCGACAAATCACAATTATTTACACTTAAGATGTCCGGTTTAAGGTCGGCGTAACTTCCACTGTGAAAGCTAAAATTCTAATTTCAAGTAGATTTTTGCTGTTGTAGGAACATCGATCTCTGCTTCGAGCTTCTGATTGAATTAGAGAGATTGATTGTGTTTGATAGATAGATAGAGAGCTAGGCAAATTTCGTTCCTGTCTGGTCATGTTGGTTTCGTCCCGTTTAATCTACCACTGCAGCTCCCCAAGGGTCTCTAGCGGCAAAACCGACGTAGAAGAAGAACCACCTTTTCCAGTGATTGCGTCTCTGAGCTGGTGTTGGCACCTTTTCCCTGTATAGCACACTCAAGAGGGAGGTTTTTGTGTGGTATTCAAAACCGTTCCAGGGGCCAAGTTTTTCGGCGTGCGGAAAACCGAGTTAAACTCCATGCCCGGCTCAAGCAGGCAGCTTTTATTTAGTGGAGAGGACCGAGAAAAACTCCCGTTACGTGGGGTTATGTGAGCAGCTGCAAACGTTTGGCAGCTTTTTCGGGGTTCTCTTATAATCTCTCGATGGTAAGTGAGGTTGGGTGTACCCGGCAGTGAAGCAGATGATCGGTGGTGTGCGGTCCTATGTAGCAACTTGGGCAGACATCGGGTATTTTGTTGTTAAGGCTGTGGTGGTAGCTGGCGAGGTGAGTTGAGTATCTGGATCGCAGCTGCGACACTGTGCATCGAGTTTTCCGGTCAAGTTTGCGTTCATTTGGGGATAAAGTTGGAGCTATTTTACCAAGTAGCTTTAGACTTTTCGTTTAAAAAGTTTTGTACTTCTGTTGTGTGAAGGTTTTTGATCCCGTTAACAGATTCAAGCTTTGAAGTGTTGAGCTTTGAAATTTTAGTTTCATCATGCAAATGTGTTATGTCACATTTGCATGATGAAACACATTTGCATGATGAAACTAAAAATCTACCGGTTAAAAAAACACAATGAAATGCTTTCTAAACAGTTTCTTCTCGGGTGCTACCAGGAGCACAGAGCTGACCACCACACTGTTAACTACAAAAGTTTTAATCGGAACATCAGACCATCCCTCGAACATAAGTTCAAACCTGACATTGAACATTTGCTAAACGAAAACCAGGAGAACATCTCAAAGCTTGAATATGTTAACGGGATCAAAAACCTTCACACAACAGAAGTACATTTAAAGTAGGTCAGCGTAATATGCTTTTATTATTAAAGAGCGCAATTTGTAATCAATTTAGCGAATGAAATTTGATTAACTCAAGAAGAAAACAAAGGTAAAACGGTGAACTAATCAAATTGAACCAAAACTTCTACGATTTTTTCGTTAAAAGAAAAATTGAAAAAAAAACTTTGCTCAAAAATGTGCTTATTGTGGAGAACAAAAACGGGCGGACTGCATAACAGTCGACGGCATAAATAAGAGATTCTAACAGTAAAACAAAACAGTAAGTAAATTATGTATTCAAAAACACGAAATAAAACTAATAATAAAATCTTGTATAACTCAAAATAATTGGTTGAAAATCGCATATAAAACTTATTCCGACTAGCTATATCTTATTGATGACAACATGATGTCTTGCAATCAAATATTATATTTACATACTGCTTCAAATTATTCAAATATTTCGGAAAACGAAAATATGGGTTCTCCCTTTCAAAGGGTTTCGAGTATAAATGATTGTAAATAGCTAATTTGGTCACTGTACATTTCATTTAAAGCTCCATGTGGTACTTCAACAACTTGGCTTCAAAATTCGAGTCCACGAAATGTATAATGTTGTCGGCTATTTCTTCCTGGTTCCATTTTCCAGAAACACGTGGTGAAGAGATCTGGCTAACCAGCCATTCGAGTTCCGTATCAGCCAGTCGTTCTCCCGATTTGGACAACAGCTCATACAATTCATCTTCGTTCAAACTTCCATTGTGATCTGCGTCCGCGGCGTTGAAGGATTCTTCATCCTCGTCGAAATCATCAAATTCAGTTGAGATTTTGAAAAACTCATCTTTGGATAACTCTCTATTAGAGTCGGCATCGTTTTCATCCATTACTTCCATAATGAGAAACTCCCTCATGTGCGGGTACTCGTAGGGATACATGAACGCTTTGAACTCATCTTCGTCCAGGAACCCAGAGGAATCTTTGTCGGCTAGCTTGAATCGAAACTTGTCCATTTTAGTTTCCTCGTCATCTTCTTCGTCGTGCCCGGCTGTTTCAAAATACTCTTCCAAGGAAATTTTCCCATCTCTGTTTTCATCAGCATCTTCAAAATCTTTATTAGCCATATCTACATTTTCCTCTTCCATCACTTTCGCTATCTCGTCTCTCAATTCCTCTTTCGAAACGAAAGAATCTCCGTTTGTGTCCAAGTTTTTGAAGAACTTCACAATAGCGACATTTTTCTGCTCTGGACTCAGCGAATCCCAAGTGACGTCATGACCTCCCAAATGCTCAAGGTCATCGTCGTCATCATCGTCGATATTGATATGCACGTGTGTATGAGGAGTTTCCTCTCCGTCTTTGGTATGATGCATTTGACTGGCATCTACTTTAGGATCGAGATTTGCAGCATCACAAATAAAGATAAGATTCAGCCATAGTAGAGCTATGAACTTTTTCATTTCTAACTGTAAAATGAAGTAAGTGAAATTTGGAGTCAAAGGTCAAAATAATGTCAGCCTGCAGCCTGATTTCGAAAAACCTAAACCTAAGCCTGACTTCGAAAAACGTCCATTAAATTCTTGTTGCTGCAATTACTTAATTTTCCGGGAAAGCTTTTCTTACATATTTTTGATTCCTTGATCGAAATAAAAATGGTTAAAACTAGTAAAACCACGTTGGAAAACTGTCAATGAACTCAAGGAAACAAAAAAATGTTGGCCACCTTTGAACAAGGGACATCTGAACTAATTAGACGACGAAAACAATTAGACGACGAAAACTTAGCCTAATTGTTGTGATAAACTTATTAAATAGTTTCATATTGGTTATGTCGACGGGACCACACTAAAGGATCATAATCAACTGGACTACAACAAAGACGATCATCATCATCTGGATCACCAGTGCTTCGGACATCTTTGCGATACCAACAGACGCCAACGACGATGACAGGGAGAGGTGGACGCAACCAATCGGTTTCTGATTGTGATGTGATCTGGGAGAAGCTCCTGATTGACTGCTCCTACTGCCATGAGGTATGGACTGAAATACAAGTGCCAAAAGGCAAGAAGCCTAAAGTTAATAGAGGAGACTACATGTGCGGGTTGTGTGCCGTAGATAATGTTGCCAAACTGACATCAAAAGTGAATGATTTTAGCAAATTGTTGCAAACGGAAAGAGACGAACGTATTTTGCTAAAAGCTGAATTAGCAGAATGTGAAAAACGAGCTACCGGCATTGAAACCAGTTTTCAAGACAGACTCTCTACATGTGAATCTTTGAATGAGGTTTCGGATAACAATGTGATAAAGAAGAACGACCAATTATGGACCGAAGTTGTTTCTCGAAAGAGCATGGTAAGCAAACTGGAAGAAGATGTGGAAAAGCTGAAAACCAAGCAGAGTGTACCTAAGCCAGATGATGTTGAAAAGCTAATTAAAATCAACGAACGACGGAAAAGAAGCGTGATTATTCGTGGGTTACATGAGAGTACTGGGTCAGATGAGGCAACAAAAGCCAAAGAGGATGTTGAGTTTATGAAGCCACTTATGCCTAGCAACCAGCCCTTTCGTGCTGCTAGGATTGGAGAGCCGAAGTCGGACGGACAACCGCGGCTTCTCGCACTTACTTTCCAGTACCCGGGCGCTGCCGAAGAAATGCTCCGAAAACGATGGTTTACCTACAATGACCGAAAATACTACTACGACAGAGATCTCTCAAAATTTGATAGAGAACAAGCTTACAAAAGCAGAGTTGCCAGACGCGCATCCAATACGGCAAGCGAATAATAACACAGTTATTTCGACGAAGAACGATATGTCAATGTTGTTAGTTAATATTAGAAGCTTGTCAAATAACTGGAGTGAGTTCTTACTTGAGGTAGTTAACAGAAAACCTGATATTATCTTTGTTACTGAGACCTGGGCTCACATTGGAATGAACAAAAGTGAGTTTTTAATTAATAGTTACCATCCACCATTCATGCACCGCAGCAGCAACCGACGTGATATCAGAGGAGGTGGAGTGGCTATATATTGTGCCAGCTATATCAATGTAAGAGAGGACGATGCGCTTCTGGTTGAGAACTACGATGCGATCTGGTGCAGACTTCTTTATGCCAATCGAGAAGTTGTGCTCGGATGTTGCTATCATACTGAACCGACAGACGACGAAAACTTTGCTAACTGCCTGTACAAATTGTCTACTGGAAACATGGAGAAGATTGTAGCTGGGGATTTTAATCACCGAAGTATTGATTGGAAAGCTCTGTCATGCTCGGGGAGCATTGCAGATCAGCGGTTCTTGGATATAGTGCAAGATAACTTTTTGTCACAGCACGTTGTTGACCCAACAAGAGGGCAGAATGTGTTAGATTTGGTTTTTTCGTCGGAGCCAGACCTCATCACGGAATGTATCGTGGAAGGGAAGATTGGATCTACTGATCACAACACAGTGATTTTTTCGGCAGCAATCAAACAGCGTAACTTGAATGAGAGAAGTTTCAGCCGCAGAAATTTTTGGAAGATGGACGTGGGAAGCCTTCTTTCTGATTTGAAAGGATACGACTGGAATTCTCTCCTTATTGGGGATGCAGAACAGCAGTGGAACATGTTGATGGGCACTCTTAATAATCTTATCTCAAAGCATGTACCGTTTGTTGAACGAAGGAAGCGAAAGTACCCATGGATTACAAAACAGGTTTTGCGGGCGTGTAAGGACAAGCGACGTTGCTGGAAGAATTTGCAGAGCAACAATTCTGTTGAAAATGAGTTGAAGTACATGCAGGCAAAACAAGCATCGGACCAATCTGTTAAATGGTCGAAGAAAGATTTTGAAAGGAAACTGGCGAAAGGAATTAGAGAAGATAGTAAGTCTTTCTGGAGATACTTTTCCGCAAAGAAGAAATGTCCAACGAAGGTTGGCCCTTTGAAAGAGGGTGATCGTGTAATTGAGAAGTCTGAAGACATGGTGGAGCATCTGAACAGTTACTGCCAATCTGTATTCACTCAGGAGCCAATAGGCCTGTAACATTCGTCTACTGCAGTCACACATGAGGCTTAAGAAAAATAGGCCCTATAACCACTGGCTCAAGGGTCAGGGACACTATCTCTTGTGTTTTTCTACCTCAAGAACGGTCGGAGCCAGTTCGGTTCGCTTGTGACATGAGACTACGACCCGTTACAGCTTAAAGGCTACTACTAAAATATCCCCCCACTCTAGAATTAGAAACGTCCCCATACTTAGGTCTCTAGATACCCAAAATACATGAACGCCGTTAAAAACCGGGTTGGAACAATCCGTTAAGTTTATTTTTATTAGACAGTGGAACTTTGATCCATTTCAGATGGATCAACCTAAAACTCGCCTTATCTCAACATAACAATCATAAAACACACTCTAGGAATTTAAATTTGTACTCACATAGTAGCACGCTCAAGAAGTGGGAAATAATCCAGTCGGTAATTAACTCAAGAATTAAATAACGCAACTAAATGAGTCTAATGTTTTATAGTTTTGACAATGAGAACGAGTTTATACTCTAGACAATAGTTTTCTTGTGAACCATTAGGACACTCAAGCTGTCCACCTTTCCACCGAAGGTTCACTCTAGTCCAGTTCCGAATAATACTCCAGTCGTTATAATCCAATTCGAGGGAATACTCTCGTCTCTGTCACAGATGGGACAGCTCTACTCTCGATTATTATAGTGATGGAAATTGCGAATAGCAATTTCCTACTGCTTTTTCTTACAACTTTCCCGCGTGTGCGACTCAATTGTTCTGAAATTGTTCTGATCTCTTTTTCTGATTTTCAGTTCTCGCGAGAAAATCGTGCATGACAGGTTCCATTCGAAATTTTGAAAAATTAAATTTCACTCCAAAATCAAGTGTTTTTTGCTTCTCTCAAGGTCAAACTTCCAAATATGACCGACTGGCACATACTCCCCGGACTCGAGATCGATGTCCTCATCGCGCGCTGTCTTCTGCCAGTGAGTCCCAGAAAAACCGAGTGTTGCTCAAGATACAGTGCCAGTGGTCATTTACAGAAGTTTGCAGCAGATTTAAGCTTATCTACACCCCAAAATTCACAGCCATTTAAAATTTTCACACTATTGCTAAACAGCAACCAAAATCTGCATACACCTGCACCCTTGAATTTTCGCTTTTCAAGCCAATCATTTTAAAATCTCTTTTGTCCTATTCAATCAGGAAATTGTCATGCAGCATTTCGATTTATATAATAAATATAGTATATTAGTAACAATATTTGCTTTGTTAAAATTTCTTTTTCGTGAATCCAAGTTTCACTCGGATCCACGCTCAAGCCCCCCTTCCCTCTCAAGACTCAAGATCCATCCGATTTGCCCATTCATCTCGTACTCTTCGCCTTGGAGGTACTGCATCCTGAAGTGCTGGATGCGGCAAACTGTCTCAACAGTTCCTCTTCATCATCGGAACTAATCACAATCTCCTCCCAAGCCTTCAGCTGTTCATAGGATCGCATCCATTCTCTCTGCTCCTGCAACCTCTTTGCTTGGTTGGGTAGTGCCTTCACCCTAGCTTCTCGGTTCAAGCAAAAGGAGTTGTGCAGGCTCAAGCTCACGTTCTTCGCCAGGTCTTCCTCTAGTATCGACTCCCTCGCTTTGGTATTGTCTCTAGACATCTTACCCACTCTTTTCCATCCTGTCGTGATCGCATTACGATGGGTTAGCAGGGGTCTCTTGAAAGCTTCCGGCCCAATCTCGGCCTGGAACTGTCGATACTCTTTTTGATGTTTTCTCATGTGATCTTTCGTTGTCATGTACAACCAAGACGTCAGTGTCGCCCGAAACCATGGAAAGTACCTCAAGCGACTCCCTACGTGCCTGACTTCCGTCGGTATGGCGAATACTTTGCACGCAGTCTCAAACAACTCGAGTCTCCTGCTGTAGTCTATCGCGTATATTGACTCAGCCGTTGGCGTCGTCGCCTCCCGATACTTCGTTATATTCTCTTCTATCCATCTCAGAGCTAACATCGTACTCACTACTAAGAGCGTCACCTTCTGCCGGTGATCCGGTAGTCCGATCGACCGAATCTCTTCCACATCCCACACCAGGCAAAGGTTCTTGTGATCTGGATACCACACCGTTTGTGCCAAACAGTGGCATGGGCATTCCCCATGAGAGATCTCAATGCTCCTGAGATTACGCTCCCCTGAGGCTTCCAAGAGAGGCTCAAGCTCCATCATTTTCTCGTGCATCGTGTCGTTGTCTTCCAGGTTCGGAGTACTTCCCACAGGTTTCCCGATCACGTTTTGTCTCTCGTGATCGCTTGTGTTTTCTCTTTCCAACTTCAGAAGATCTTCTCCCCAGATTTCGCTTAAGTCATCTCTCAATTCTTTTGGTACTGTCCCTTTGATTTTTCTCAACAGCTTGTGCGAGTGATGCGACATCCGAGCCAACCTCACGCACTTGGGCACTGAGAAGGCCTTGTCCACCAGTATTCTCTGGCTGGACACTTCCACCATCGCCATGTGTAGCGGGTAGTGACTTCCGCACAAGTTGGCCATCATTGACCCTATCAGCGATTTCGCGTTCAATGGCAAGCCATAAGCTTCGCTCATGGGAAATCCCATTTCCGCCTCAAGACCAACCTTCCAGCTCCGGATGTGTTTTTGAGTCACCTGCAACACCCCGGGCCATGATTCTACGCTCAACGCCGTCACTAAATGATGTTCAGATTCCAGTCTCTCCAGTGCCTGCAGACCACACATTCTCGAGAAGAATCCGAGAGCTGTCGCTATATTCACCGTGGTTCTCGCGTAACATTCCGCTGTTATTTGCACTTCACTTTTCTCCCTTTCTGTGATGTCTTCGAACCAAGTGACCAGGTCTTCTTTTTGAAACGACAGTATTCTGACGCATGACCGTCCATCGCAGATGTGCTCTCCGTTCCCACACGTCGAATCCAGACAGCTACCCGGCTCCAATTTCTTTGCTGACCCGGGGTCGCTCGTCCTTTCGCTTGGCTCTTGCATCTGGGGCGTGATTAGCTTATGTAGCACACTCAACTTCGCCAGATCTTCATCTTCCGTTGGTGCTAACCTCACTCGCTCGGTGGTTTCCTCGATTAGACTCGCATGGGGATGTGGACACCAGGAGGGTCTTAGTAGCTTCCATATCACTCCCAAGTTCGTAGTTAACAAGCCATTTCCACCGCCCACGTTCACTTCAACTCTCTTGTTTGAGCGCGGTATGCTTATCACCTCTGGTGTTTTCTCAAGAATCAGGCCCAGGCTCGGCCCCTCTTTCTCCACCGCGTCTATCTCCATTATTCTTTCTGTCCAAAACTTCAGTAGCTCCGCTACCTCATGGTTTCTGTGGGCTCCTCCAGCTTCCGAGGCTAAGAAGGGATTGTAGGCTATTCCCATCACTCCAGACACATATTGGTATTCCCCCTTCTCACTGAGTCTCGAGTACTGTTCTGACGAGGCCAGGTTACGGTGAACATCATGTTCTTCCTCGAACTTCTTATTAGAGAACCTCCGTACCTCGTCCAGCTTTCGATGATTCTCTAAGGATAGTCTGGAACCATCTTCTTTCTCTATTCCTGTACTCTGATATACGTTCAAGATGATCGTTGAGACTCTTTTCTCCGTGGTTTTACTTCCACTTGCTCTCTGGTGGCATGCCAGGATGGTGCTATCAGACATCATTGACATTATCCATCTCAAGAAACATGTGGCATCTTTTCTTCTAGCCAGGCTCAAGCCTGAATTGTCCCTGGCCACGTGTTGCATCAGTGCCTGATACACCTCTAGCTTCTTGCTTCCCAACTTCAGCCTGTCATACGAGGTCAATGTCTCCAACTCTATTCCCACCAGACTCCAGGTGAACATTAATTGTCCCGCAGTTCTAACGAAGGGATTCGCCATTAGTGGCGGTGCTGATGAGGATGTTCTCATCGCCTCTTCAAAATGATCCTTCAACAAACTCTGCCAGGACCTCTTCAGATGACTTGCCATCTCTATCTTATTAACCTCGGCTTTTTGCTGGGTGGCCCAATTGCGTCGCCTGCGAGCTATTCCACTGTCCAACTTCTTCAAGCAGTCCTCCATTTCCTTCAATGTTTCGAGGGCCACCCACCACGTCCGGGAAGTGTTCCTCGTCTTGTTCCTCTCCAATGGATCACTCGTCACTTGTTTGCCCATGTCCTGATGTGCCTTCGAGATCCATTCTTTGCCGATCTCCACTTCCCCTACCTGTCCGTTCGTTGAACCTCTCTTCACGTTTACCTTCTGAGGCTTGAAGTCTTCTTCTGACGTCGAACTGGTGGAAACCTCTATTTCCTTTTCTACTTCAAGTGGTTTCCTGAGCTCCGAGCTGTTCTTGTATGCCGCCGTCTTGCATCGAGCCAAAACGATGGGCGCCGTCTCTCTCAAGTTTCCTTCCGAAACAGCATCCACTGAAGGACTACCCCATCCTTCCACTTCTCTCTTCCTCTTGCGAGTCTTCACATCTCTGCTCGAGGGTGTTGTGGCTATCATCATTGATTCGACCTCTCCATCCACTCCTTCCAACTCTTGCCTCCCCCCTGCTCGAGCCTTAAGGATATTAGTACTTTTAATCATATTACTAGTCCCAACCTTATCCCTTTTTATATCATCAACCATTTTATCCACAGTTTTTTGTTTCAGAGTAGAGCTGTCCTCACATTTCTCTTTTCTAGTCTTCGATCGTGCGTTCCTCAGCTCCACTAGCTTGTTCAGCAGCTCTTTTCTTGCTTTTTCATCCAGGCCCGTTCCTATCAGGAGCGGTTCCCCGAATCTCACTACTGCGTCCCACAGTTCCTTCTTGAACTTGTCCAGCGTCGTCTCGCTGCCCACTTCTCGATTGAATTCCCCCAGGAATTCCTGCCAAGCGTCATCCTCGAGAGATCCCAAGAATATGTCCCTGTTCCCTTCGAACGTGTTCTTCTCCCTTTCCTCCGAGCTCAAGAGTAACATCCCCATATTGAAGGTCTCACCTGCCAATGGCAACTCTAGGT